CTCGTTATCGTGATTGGTGATATGTTTGTAAGTTATATTAAATCGTATCCACGAATGCGACTTTGTAGCTTAGGCTTGTTAAATAGTGTTACCACTCAGCATTCAAAAGACTCTTGTTTCTATTGTGAACAAGATTGGCTTTGCAATACTTGGTATAAGTTGGTGATTTGTAATGGGGTCTCTTAACATTTGTTGAGAAACACATTCCTGCGGAGGGAGCTGGTAGGAACGTTGGGTTGCTCGGTCAATGGCCAGGGTCAACGGCGGCACCACGTGGTGTATTCCGCAAATATGCCCGACTGTGAGGGCGGGCACAAGCCGGCGTGAGTAGGTTAAACGTTGAGTTTTATAAGGGCACCACGGTGTGACCAGCCCCTCCCCACCCAGCCCCACCCCTCCCACCCTCCCCACCGAGCCCCTCCCCACCCATTTTTGGATGCACGACGGACGGACACAATAATCCCCTGTGGGCTGGTGTAACCAGGAGGTTCCTACCAATAAAATATCGCTTGGCTGTTGGCGTTCCTTGCATGGCTTGCCTTTCCTGTTACGCACGCTGCACGATGTTTGAGTGGAATTTCCCTTCCACATCCACCACTCACCCGCCCATTCCATGTGCTCCTCTCACTTTCCTCGCACCCTCTGAAATCGGCACTCGACAGCGACACTGATGATGATGCACTTGATGATCATTTTGGCGAAGAAGCAAAGTGGTAAGCATCTGCCAGATATGTAATCGTCTAGCTAACTTGCCCTATTAGACGCTGTAATTACTGTACATTAATGTTGTCTAGTTGCCGTTTTTGTCTCATTTCATGCTTTGTATTGCTTACTTTATTCAGGCTATTTGGTGGGGCAACCAGTGCATGTGGATGTTTTTCTCTGGTTTGAGTGTATTCATTTTAAACAAAATGTAATGGAATGGCTTTACATTGCTGGGGGTAAACAGGAGGCATGTTATTAGCCGTATCTTTTTTTACTGAAGATAAAAAGATGAGTGAAGTAGTGTAAACAATGAGCAAATAAGATTAAGTATGTCCACTGGGTGTTTAACCTTACTATTATACCCGAGATTTTCCATTTTTGCTGGTGTTTATTTTGGTGCATAATAAAGTGGAGCTTTCTGATCAGCATCAAAATATTTTGCAGCCGTTTCTCACTCCATTGCTAGATGATGGCTTCCTCAAACCATATTGGTCATGGCGGTTGTTTGATACATTTCACCACACACAGGTCCGTGCCGATTGGTACTTCAGCACCAGTTCCGAAATCACTCGTCACTGATGTTAGCCTTAGCCGGGACCCCAACTCGGATAGATGAGCACATAGCACTCAGCACTGAACCATAGCTCCAGCTCCATATAGCCAGTTTATAATAATGCAAATAAGCAGATGTAATAGACATTCGAAAATTAATGGAGCCAGTAAATATATCCAATTAGTTTTTCATCAAAGTGGATTTCTGCTATGTATGTCGTTGAACTTCTTTCGCACCGTGCGTAACCGACCGTGCAAATCGGAGATTCAAAAATGTTACACGTCCAGCTGGCACAGGGACATCATGGGGTGAGTGAAAACAAATCGGTTGATGAGACATTTGTTTTGCTTCTGCAGGCTGCCTGGCCTTGGTAGGTCTTCTGACTCACCTTTACTGGAAGAAGACAAGAACAAGCAGGACTCTTCAGCTGATATCACGGCTACATCCCATGCTGCAGACTCCCCAGCTGATGACAAGAAAGGTGAAAGCCCCCGTCCCTCCTGTGGGTTGTCAGCAAATTGCTGAGTGGTACTGAGTAGAGGTTTTCAGTGTTAATATTTCATGTGACCTCAACCATCGTTTAGTGATTTGTCCTATTTGTGAGTTAAATGCTTTCACTGTGGGAGCCAGACATGATGATGCTCACATGTAATATAGACGCGGTGTTTGGTGGATAATAGATTTGAGACTCAAATCCACTGGGCTGCGAGATGACCATGAGAGGGCAGTACAGCAAGTGGGTGGTGGTAAGCCTATCTGTGAGGACTTTTGAAGTTGTCTCCTGATGAGTGTGTGTGTCTATTCTTCAATTTTCCTCCCATATGGGAAAATACTTCCGGAGTAAAATGGCATTGCTCGAGCTGAACTTTGCTGCTGTTCTGCTTTCCGTTTTCCAGACGAAAGCAAGAGTACCATCAAGGTGGAGACAAAAAACGGGAATTGCAAAGTTGGAAAGCGAGATCTGGGTATGTGTCCATTAAACATTCCTCTGTGAATTTGTTTTTTTTCGCATGTAACTTTGCTGTTAAATTACTGTATTTGAGTTGATGTTTTAATGGTATTTTTTCTGATGTAGGGAAAGATGAAGATTACGAAGATGATTTTCAGAGGTCAGTGGACATTTTTTGTCGTGTAATTTTAATAAGGTTTGCTTAGAAATGTAATTACGCTTTGAATAAGTTGTTAAATCTGCAAGGTTTCTTGACCGGATTAACCGTTAGTAACCACAACATTATCTGGGTGGTCATTATTCGGTAGCTTAATATGTATTTAACTGCTTTGCCTTCTATCTTCGGCGAAGCTGTCAACCTTGACCGATAAACACGTGCTAGGCATGTTAATATTTCCATAAAATGGTGATAAATCTTGACTTAAAGCTTTCGCAACTGCAGGAATTCATATTTTTTTGGGTCTTTCGGTAAAGCCACGTAGATAAAAATAATAAAAAATATCACGTTTCAATCGCAACACAAGCAATCGACGATTTGCTTGTGTTGCCATCGAAACGTCGTGATATTTGTGTTATTTTTTTCTATGTGGCTTTACCGAAAAACCCAAAGAATAAAAATGGTGATAGTCGTCAAGTAAATGGGTACGTTTAGTCAAGAAGAAAACAAGTTAAATTATTACGGTTTTATCCATTTGCTGCTGGCGGAAGGAGGTCTCTCCACTCGGAGTAGTTTTAACATGTCATCACGCTGGTCATACACCACTTGTCACTGATGTTAGCCACAGCCGGGTGTCCAATTCAGGTGGCCAGGTTCATTGTGTGGTGTGCGATAGCTGAGCTTCCACTCCACTCCAAACAACTGTCCTGTCAAGACGAATAAAATCGTAAACCACTTGTGTGTGGTGTGCTTACAAATTGTCTCTGATGTATGATGAAGTTTGGGCTGAAAAACTCTCATTGATATTCCTCGTTGCGTGCAGTGCGAGCCACAGGTCGGACCACACGAAGACGGAGGAGAGCATTGCCGAGGAGATAGACGACCTGTCAATCGAAGCAGAACCGTCCGACGCAAGTGCCAAGGTGAGCCTCTTGGCCAGAAAATGACCTCCCCATTCGTCACAAGCTGTGTCGGTTGCCATCCGTTAAGCAGTTATATGAAGACGCATCCAAAAAAATGCATAAACGTTCCTGGGGTGTCCATTTTCAGTTTGAAACTTTATTAATGATTCTAAAAAGTATAAAAGTTACAAACCTCAACTCAACATTATAGACCATATATTTTAAACCAACTATATAAATGCCATCACTATTGCATGCTGTGGCGGTGTGTTTACGTTCCTAAAGCTGCCAACTCGCGTATTATAGCCCGGGATACACGGCCGAGGTACGGGGCAGTGGTATAGCCCAGCAGTAGCGTGTTCGCTGCTTGTTGCAGAGGTTCGTGGTTCGAATCCAGTGGCCACCTTGATTAATACTGCAGGTGTAGCTTTAAAATAAGTCTGCTTCAAGCCGGCGTTTAAAGTTTCCGTGACATCATGCATGTCATCATGGTCCACATTTAATTACCCGCAAATGAGTGAATTTGCATTATACACAACAAGCTTTGTCTCCTGACTGAAAAAAAATATTGCAGGCTCCTGAAAAAATTGAGGGACTGATTGTGGGTCATGAAGCGCAACAACAGTATCTACAATAGCTGTTTAAAATATTATTTTTAGAAAACCTACTCTGGCTATTCGCTATCAATGTACATTGAGGTTTAACTGTTGATGCAAGTGATCCAACAGAATTAAGGGTCAATCTGTTGATGTGGTTTGTTGTGCTGCTGCCATGCATGCTCTCTAGGTGGAGGATGTGACCTTGGACAACACATTCTGCTCACAAAACAGTGACAAGGCCGATTATATGGAGGATGCAGAGCTGAGCTCCACAAGAGAAGGCTGATTATTACTCTGGGGTGGGGGGCGGTTTTTATAAGCACTACACATATATTTTTAAATCAATTACATGGAAGTCAGCTTTTGCCTCGAGTTAAAAAAGTACCAATCCAGACTTTGAAATAGCACCATGTTAAGTGTAGCCCATAAAGCGCGTGCTTAGATGGATTCCCTTGGTGTGGTGCGAGCTTGGATTGGCTTGGTTTTTTTACATTATATCAATGCAAGCGATCTCTTGTGATGTTTTATTAGCTATTTGTGGCCCTAAAATTCCTGCCCTTGCAGTCGTCACCAAAGACACGCACGTAAAAAAACACTGCATTAAAAAGTTACCCTTTGAATAGGAGATTGTTTTCTAATTTTTACTGAATCCCATGACTGGTGCACGCAAGCCTGCTCTTGAAAGTCATTAATACAAGGGCAGGACCATGCAACATTTGAATTAGCAAGCTATAGGTATGTAGATATTGGAGTGTTTGTAAATCTTCGTCCTTATTTCTTATTCACCCAGGCGGTCATTGTTCACATTCTGGTTGGTCTAGCGTTGCAGTCTCGTATGATGTTGGTGGTATCTGGCTTTGTTTGGAAAAATCACTAATGTACATACACTAACCCAGTCTTGAATAGGTGTGGTCAGCAACTATTTTGTTGTCAAAAGGTGTCAGTTTTATTTTTGTAAATCGTAATCTTGTGTTTGGATATTGTATGTGACTGAATGTAGTGGTGTTAAATAAACTTTTCTGAACAGTTAATCTTTTTTCTTGTGTCTGTTGTTGAATGCTTTCAGACCTGCTGCTTATGAACCTCGGGTTAAAACCCAAAGAAAATAAACTTAAGTTAAAGAGAAACATTTAAATAGTCTTTAAGATTTTATTCACCACCTTTAGCACAATGATTCACAAACAGCATTTGTACACTGGAAACAAGCACATGCTATTAAAAGCAATGCCGACAGAAAATAAGCAGACGGATCACACATTGTACAAGGCTTTGGAGTAACTTTAACACAGTAATGCCTTATTTAAAGTGCAAAACTACCCAAGGTCAACTTTAATATTTGAATGAACAATTAAACCAAGGCAATTGTCCCAAGCTTTGAATTTAACATTTACATCTCAAAATTCAGTGTAGACGCTAAAGTTATAGAAGTTGGTGCTAAACACACTAGGAGATTGTAATTGTTTAGGGTAGTTTTCATCCAAACCTTCCAGTATCTTTTGCTAAATACTTCATGCTTTAGAAATTTGGTCTAATGTTTTCCAAATAACCAATGTAACTACCAATTCCATCAGAGGAGCAAAATTAACATCTTCTAAACTGAAAAAAATCGTTCCCCATTGTGACGCAATTAAAAGATACGGTATGCAAAAGCTTAAAAGATAAACGGCACTACAATAATCCAACCTGTACAATAACCTTATGGTGCAAAATTAATGCATGGCAAACGTTTATTCCAACACCCAATTACAAGTCTATAGCATTGCATAACCAACTTTCCACTGCTGTGAATATCAGCATGTGTGCATGCTTGTAGATTATGCCTCCCCAGCGTCTCCTCTGGCATGGTTTGTATTTCAGCTTTTAAAGCTCTCAAAACATTTGCAGTTCATGCCTTACTGTTGCCCCCCACACTTGCCAGTGCAATAATTTTTCATGACAGCAAGGATGGCTCCGTATTTGGGCCACGATTTTACAGAGTGCAAGGCCGTACTGCAAAACCCAGCATATTTTTGATTTTGTGATGAAACTTTTGGGCATGTTGACACTCAGCATATGCCAATTTTTGCTCATTTGCGTGGCCTTAATGGAGTCTGAACAGTCTAACACTCAAGTGAGCATTGCTATGAAGGAGTTATACACATGCTTCTGAACACCAACCAAAGCAGAAGATTCACATCATGGGTTTTTTTCATTTAGCATGCAATTTTAAAATGCCTTTTCATATCGTTCACTCGTGTCACCTGCTACATTCATTGCAAAACAATGATAGTCTTTAACAATTTCCCAGTGCCGAGGTTCATAAATTATTTTTACATGTCTATCAAGGTTAATAGAACAATGAGACCGAGCAAAAGATCATCTAACTTTAGCTAAAATAAAACCAATATACAATATATGGAAAACATAGTTTATACCTTTTTAAAATTATGGAATGATTACCCTCGTGCCTAGACCCAGTCACCAACTAGTTTCAGTTTTCCTCAAAGAAATGTCATTAGATGTACCTTAGTTTGTACCATATTCCATACAATTCCTCGAGCCAATGTGACATTTTCTAATTGATATTGGCTGTGTCTATAGGTTTCCACTGGCCCTCCCCTTACACACTAATCTTGAGATGGGTAACCTTATGCTGAAAAACAACCAAATTTAACAAATACTCTAGGTTTGGGCTAGAATAAAGAGGCCACACCAGGTGCAAAAAGGCTCAGTTGGTGTTGGGGTCTGTGGAATCGTTTGGGCGCTTGCTGTACTTCTGGTGGATGATGAAGAGCACGATGCCCAGGACGAAGCAAATGGTGCCCACGGTGATGTAGGCGATGCCTAGGAAAGGGTTCTTTCCGCCCATCCATGAGGTGGTGCTGAGGATCATACGCTTTCTGCCTCCAAAGCTCTTCACCGGAAAGTCTGAAGCTAAGTTAAGGAAGATTGGAGCGCAGCACTGCGGGTGGGAAACTTTCCAGGCAAATATAAACCACAACGACAATTGTCAACACCATCAATGCACTGGTGGATGTCGGTCATGTGGGTTGTTTGACCGTACTCCATGGCTGGGAATCAAACTCTTGGCCAGGATATTAGTGCAGTGGGATAACCAGTCCTCAAGCAAACACACCAAACAAAAATGGAGAAAAAAATACTATGGATGTAATTGCATTTTTTTTCCACCATTCAATGAAGGTACACAATGCGATCATATACAAACCATGGTTATACAGGAGACCAGGAGGTAAAGGGGAAGGGACTTCCTGTCCACCAAATACAAGTCATACAACCAGTTATAGCTTCTATACAATAGTGATTTTTTTTTAAGCGTACTTTCAATCTTATCTTACCTTCCCAGACCTCAAAACCCATTTTCCAAGCTGCGGAAAAGCATTGTTAAAACGGCGACGTGGGCCACTAAAAAGGGAAGATTTATATCAACACAAATGGGCTACTGTACATCCCCTGTAGTCACAGCAATTGCATTGGAAAATGAAAGGATACTGTAGTCCACTTTGAGGAGGTATGAGCCAGCGGGCAGCCCGTTGTCTGTCATGTTGACGCGACGGTAGAGCTTGCGGAACGTGGGCAGGGCAGCTGTTCTCATCCACACGATGAAGTCCTCGTTCATGAAGCCATTGTTGTTGCTGTCCAGTTCATCGAGTTCATAAACAGATTTATTCCAGTACAGCGGCTTGGTAGTGCCTGCGACGAAAACACACGTTACTGTGTATGTTTTTTTGCGATTGTGCTAATATAGCTCACGGGATGTGTTTTTCAGGTTCTTATCACGTATCCGACTTGTCCGACGTTTCTTTCACCGTGATGATGGGAGCTTCTGAAACGTTTTCGAATCGGCTCGTAGATGGTTTAGGGAAACGTCGGACAGCGTGCGGAACACGTGGTACAACCCAAAAACACGAGAAATAAAACACAAACATAGTGACCATACACAAATTGCTTTTCAGCTCCACGTTTCCAGATGAATGGATCATCTTTGTAATGGCAAACGTGGCGGTCATATACAAACCTGCAAAAGCACTGGTGAGATTGTTTTTTGGCTCCGGGTTCTGAAATTTTACGTTCTTGTCCGTCCACCAGGCAATTCCAGTCTTTATCATCGGCACCGGAACATTGTCGGTAGCGTTTGCCATGTACAACGTTAGTGTATCTGCCAGAATCAACAAAAGGTACATAGAAGTCGTTAATAGTCCTTTATAATCGTGTGAAAATGTTGAGCCTAAATGTGTTCTTTTCAACGGGAACATTTTGAAAAATTAGATTTAAAAAAACCCTATATTTAAATCGGCTCAAGCATCCGGTAAATCTGTTGACTTGTACGATGATCACTACCCTGAATCCCTTGCCTATCCCTGCATCCTGTGAAGACAGATGCTGCATGCAGCTCGCTTCCACTTTCTCTTCCCTCACACATTAACTCTCTCATTTTCAACACCTTTGCCCAGTCATTCCTTCTCCCCTTATGGCCAAGCGCTCCGTTATTCCTGCTATTCATCCTGCACCATGCCCGTCTTGGGGACTAACTCCAGCATCCCTTCCTGGGTCATCTTGGCCTGTCGGCCCTTTTGCGCAACTTTTTCTTCCTTTTGTGTGCCACAGGTAAAAAATTGTATCGCCAAACAAAAATGCTAAGCAAAACAGTAATGTAACATGAAAGCAGGGATACATTTAATTTTAAAATGGGGTTCTGCTAAAAGGAGAGTTAATAAACTTAGTCTGGAAACGTATTTCATGAACAAATTCATAAAGACTAAGAAATCTAAAAGCTTATTGATAACTGACTGATATGGTTTAAATATCAAATGTAATATGGATGCAGTGTTGTTTCATGCTTGAGTGGTATTCCCTTTACACTAAATGCCCACCCCTGTAAAATTTCCAACAAGGGACTTTCATTTTTTTCTCAATCTGCTACACTTGAATTTAACATTTACTTCTTTAAACCAGCACTTTGCTTTATTATAGTTATGCATTAGTTAACATATTTCGGGCTCATGGAAAGTCAAAACTGCCAACTTCCTATGCAAAAGGTAAAAGTGTAAACCTGCAATTGCTTGATTACGCCACTTCTGGCGGCCGCGTCTTGCACTCGAGGGCACTCTTAGAGGGTATTTGGCCTACTCTTTCACACTGGATGTCTTTGGGACAGGTGGGAGCAGCCACACTTTCCCGTCAGATGCGACCTGCCGATCAGTGTGGTGTAACTATTTATACTGCTGGGTGGACATGCAGTGGCATTTACTAAATTTGCACCGTGTTTAAACTGCCATCGGGAGATCGAATCTAACTAATGACCTCGGAAATCCAGTGCGTTAACTAATACACAACGGCCTCACCCCTCAACCTTCCAATACATGCCATTTAATGCCATCGATTTCGCCAATCCTGAAATATGTAGTTGTGCGTGTTCCTACTCGTGTGTGTTCCCACCGTTGAACATGCTGTTTGCAATAGCTCCGCAAGGTGCAATCGGAATGGTGCCATTCTTTTCATAAGGAGCACACTCGCTGCTTGGATTCTGTGAAATGCAAACGAGCGCACAAATAAAAACTGCTGCATCCTTGAAAAAAGAGAAAAACACGTTATTTGTGCAACTTTTTAAATTATAATGTAATTTGTGTTGTATTTACAACTTTAATTCACCAATAAGGAGGCCTTGACACCATACAGCTGGTTGTCATCTCGGGACTTGACGTAGCGTCGATGGTTTTGGTAGAAGTTGGACAGCCCGTAGTACATGTACACTGGACCCTGCAACAATGACAGCAGGGCGGGGAAACATTTAAAGTGGTGGGCAAGCTCTTCATCGTCAAAAATGATGGCAACACGACCGCCAATAACCATTCAACGAGCAACACTAACTGTACCTTAAAATGCTCGGTTAAGTTGAAGGCGATGGAGCAACTGCAGCTTTGGAAGCTGTTATTCCAATACGTGCGCACTTCGGCACAATGTGCACAGTCGTTGCTGTCTGTATAGTCGACCTGAAAGAAATTGGGAGCATGGCGCTGTTAATACCACATCGCGTGTACTGCAAATGTATCTCTTTACGACTGACCAACACTATACAATCTCCAAATAGCAACACAAAATAAGACCAATAAATAATAAACAGAATTCTTTTAGTAATTACATTCATCGCCTGGCCATGAGAATCGAACCTTTAAAAAATTAATGAGATTTGCGATCCAAGTGAAAGCTCAAAAGGAGTTGTCTATTATTCATATCCTGAGCTTCACTCGGATGTATTGATAACACTTGGCAGGATACACCAACAGAACATTCTACTTTGTCAGGAATTAGTGGGGAGTGCATGTAACATCCATAAGAGGTTTTTTTGGGGTTAGATGGCGTAAATATATAAATGTGTCGTTAAAACCCGCCACCACCCGACACATTTACGTGACCTAACCCCAAAAAACCTCTTATGGATGATGTTGGTCGCAAAAGCCTGCTACGTGTTAAACTGCACTAAACATCCTCGCCGCATGGTTCTCGACTGCAGTCATAGCCATCCACTTCCAGAGATATTTGTCATCTACCCTCATCACATAATTCCTTTATCACATCGGATCAATAACATTCTATTACTCCATGACAGCAAGGAATAAAACGTGTCTTGGAGGACTTATATCAAATACATGTGCAAAGGCTAGCTGGATTATGGTGGCAACTTGGGCAGGCCTTTATCCGGCAGTGGATTGATCATGCCTGATTGTGGTGATAACTTGTAAGGTTGGACACTGAGAATAATCCTGCCACCCCATGTATAATTCAGCCCAGTGTGCATTATAGTGCTGTGTAATACCTCACCATAATGGCATGGGGATTTACAAAACACTACCTAGTTCATAACAAGCACGTGCAGTAACAACACTGGTGCGGCAATGCTACACGGCCCAAAACAAACTCCTTTCCCAGTTACAGGCCAAGCGCATATCCTATACAATTCAGACGAACCAGCTTAGAACACTTAATTAGTGGAACGCACACGTGCAAGACTTCTGTCAATCCACGGCTGGAAGAGGGCGCACCTCTCCGAATCGTGCGAGTCACGGGGATTTTTATGACTGCAGTGTGCTTTTGCCACGCTGGTCAGTGCGGCTTGTGTGGCGTGAAGGCGGGAAGCAGCTATAGGCGCATACAGCAGCACGTGCATTTTTGTGGCACTTCCTTTGTGGCTGCCAACGTAGCTCCGTCGCGGCTTACAACACCCTGGTATTTTGCATAGCGGTCGTCCATCCAAACACTATCCAGGCTCAACAATGCTTAGCTTTCTGAGATGTGATGGGATGCGATGCAGTCCCGCCGATATGGTCATTTGTAAACAAAAAGATTGCTTAAGTCTAAACTAAAGTCACAAAATAACATCATGCTACAGGCGGGTCCAGGACACTAATTGCAACACAACACGCAAATGTTAACAATGTCACTGCAGTTATTGCGCAATGCCACTTAAGTACACAATAGGTACACAGCTGATTCGGTATAATACCTTCAGGTTCAGAACACCACATTTTAGTCCTAATTGTGTTCACAACACAATTAGGAATGCACATCCTTCATGTAACTGCAAACCCATGTTCACAGAGTTCAGAACACACCCTTACCGAGCGAGTTCAGAACGCGCCCCAAAAATTGAGTGTCCTTCAGAACAGCCCACTCATGTTTGGAACGCACACCAGTTCACGGCAAGATTTAATTTAACAACAGTTAAAAATGCAGTACGTACAATATCATTAACAGTCCAGAACGCACCCACCTTTACGACAATTGTGATTCTGCTGCGTTTGGCGGTGATGTACAAGCACAAATAACAACACCCAGCACGTTCCTCCATAAGACGTTTAAGACCACAGCCCCTCTTCAAAGCACACAGAGGATAATCCTACTCTGGCCTCAATGTGCTACCAAGGGACACTTACAGAAACGTCGCATATCCTGTATATATTCGTTCCCTTTTAAAGCCACGCAGTGCGTTATTGACGGAACGTATAGAACGTCCGGCCCGCGGACCGTCTAAGGCCCGCGAAATCATTTGGTGTGGCCCTGCCAAGGCAACCGCAGGCGGGACTCGAAATTCAATAAATCTAGGAGCAAACCTGGAAAGGCAGTTTAGAGTAGCAACATCATCATCAATACCAGCTGACATCATCACACGCCTCGCCAAAGAGAAGCAGTTCCAGCCATCACATTAGGGGTGAGTTAATTGAATGTTTGACCAAATGTAACGGCCTAATTTTTAAGTTGATAATTTTGTATGGTCGGCGAATGATGTTATAAATATCCAAATGACCCTTGGCAGAAAAAAGGTTCCCCGCCCCTGGTATAGTGTCACTTCTACACGTTGTGAAAACGACACAGCGAAATATTCACACGGCAACAGCAACAACACACGATCTCAGAAACCACCACCACACGATCTCAGAAACCTCCACCACCAACACACGATCTCAGAAACCACCACCACCAACACACTATCTCAGAAACCACCAACACACGATCTCAGAAACCACCACCACCAACACACGATCTCAGAAACCACCACCAACACACGATCTCAGAAACCACCACCACCTCCAACACACGATCTCAGAAACCACCACCACCAACACACGATCTCAGAAACCACCACCAACACACGATCTCAGAAACCACCACCACCTCCAACACACGATCTCAGAAACCACCAACACACGATCTCAGAAACCAGCACCAACAACACACGATCTCAGAAACCACCACCACCAACACACGATCTCAGAAACCACCACCACCTCCAACACACGATCTCAGAAACCACCACCACCAACAACACACGATCTCAGAAACCAGCACAGGTGAGTTTAGGGAACGGCAACCTGCGGCTCTTTAAGCGACTGCTTTCGTGGCGTTATTTATGAAGGACCATCCCACCCCGTCTCGTATTCGCGTCCATTGCGGCTCTTGAAATCCGAGGTTTTTTTTCCAAATTGTCGTTTGTTACCGAACGTGCACTAAACATGTCTCTCCGTTGTTCATTTTGGTTTCCCACCCCTCCGTGTTAGTTTTGCACCGCCTCACGCCCCTCACAAATATCACCACCACCATCACCACCGCCGCCGTCGTCACCTCGTGCTCGAGGATGTTGTTGGACGTGATGAGGAGGCCAATGCCGAGCGGGATGAAGATGACGGCGATGATGAAGAAGGCGGGCAGCACCGTGCCGGCGGTGAGGATGGGCTGCCAGGCGGGCAGGCGCTGCTGCTTGAAGGCGGTGTTGTCGGGCCGACGGCTGCGCACCTCCTCCGCCTCGCCATCTTTTACTCCGCCGCCCGCGTTCGCCGCCATCGTATCGCACGTGAACACGCGAGCGGGTCGTCGTCGTCGATGTTAAATGCGTCTGTTAATGTCACCTCGTCGTCGTCGTCGTCGGTTCTCGTTATGATAATCGTCGTCGTTGTCAGTAACGTTTTAAGCGAAGGCCGCTGCCGCCGCCGTTGTTGCACCTCGACCGCGGTGATCGCTTCCGCGATGGTGAGTCAGGGCCCTCTGATGTGGGCGGAGCCTGACGCGATGCTGAGTCCGGGGCCCTCTGATGTGGGCGGAGCCTGACGCGATGCCGAGTCCGGGGCCCTCTGATGTGGGCGGAACCTAACGCGATGCCGAGTCCGGGGTCCTCTGATGTGGGCGGAGCCTGACGCGATGCTGAGTCCGGGGTCCTCTGATGTGGGCGGAGCCTGACGCGATGCCGAGTCCGGGGTCCTCTGATGTGGGCGGAGCCTGACGCGATGCTGAGTCGGGGCACTCTGGGTCCGTGACGTCGCGGCGATGTGGGCGGCGCCTGCCGCGGTGCCCACTGCGGGGAGCGGTGGCGCAGCGGTTTGGTTAAAACACCAAAACTGAAACCTTTTTACAAGGAACACTTTAACACGTAGGCTTTCGCGACCAATATTATTCATAATAAACGTTTTTGGGTTAGATCGCGTTATTTATAAATGTGTCGTAACCCTCCACCATCCGACACGGCCAAACAGTAAAAAATGTGTCACGTTTACAAAAGACAAATAAATTTTGATTTAAAGCTTTCGTGACTGCAGGGATTCATATTCTTGGTTCTTTCGGTGAAGTCTCCACGTCGAAGAGAAACAATAAAATAATAAAAATATAAAACAATAAAATTCTCACGACGTTTCGACTGCAACACAAGCAATCATCATCAGGTGTGAAAAACCACAGCAAGAAAATTTGTTTTTTCACACATGAATCCTTGTAAAAAGGTTTCAGTTTTGTTGCCAGAAAAAAGGGGAAAAACCTTATTACTACATTTTGGTACTGGCAAAGGAGGTCTAATGATGAAGTTGTTAATTGTGCATTTGCATGCCCGTCGTTGCGTTGGACTGGTTTGTTACGATTTGTTGTCACTCCAGACGCGCATCAGCTGAAATTTACTCGGCACACATTCCAAGTAAACATGCCGACGTTGCATCACCTAACAGGGCCCCACGTTGGTATGTCCGTGGTAGTTGGAACCGTGGCCCAAACGTTGGCATGTACGTGGCAGTTGGAACCGTGGCCCAACGTTGGCATGTACGTGGTAGTTGGAACCGTGGCCCAACATTGGCATGTCCGTGGTAGTTGGAACCGTGGCCCAACGTTGGCATGTACGTGGTAGTTGGAATCGTTGGCCCCAACGTTGGAATGTACGTGGTAGTTGGAACCGTGGCCCAACATTGGCATGTCCGTGGTAGTTGGAACCGTGGCCCCAACGTTGGCATGTCTGTGGTAGTTGGAATCGTTGGCCCCACGTTGGCATGTACGTGGTAGTTGGAACCGTGGCCCAACGTTGGCATGTCCGTGGTAGTTGGAATCGTTGTCCCAACGTTGGCACGTGTATTGGGTTTCAGCCTGAGTGTGTCTTGGTAAATCACTCCAATCCGTCACGCTGAGAACACATGCTGTCAGTGACGCTCGCAATAATTCCATCAAAGGAACCGCGCAAATAATGCCATCATAAACATCGTACCGAGCAATTAGAGTCCAGTTCAAGATATGGACGGGTTTTGTATTATCAATGTCAAAATAATGGTTTTATGGTTTAGATCGCATAAATATAAACGTGTCGTGAACCCACCATCACCCGACACAGCCGATTAGTAAGGTTTGTCACGTAAACAAAACGTGCCAATTCGTGACTACTTCAGCACACCGGTGTGTTGGAGAGTAAACCCACAGCATTTACAATTTGAGTGCCCCGTTTTGCTGGTGATTTCAACCAGCTTCAATTTCGCTTGATCAGCAGTGCGGTCGCTTGCGAGTTCCTGCAGCCGCTCGAGGTCGCTGCCTTTAGCAGTGTAAAACAATATACATACGGTAATTGTACATACTTAATTAGAATTTCGGGGCGGGAAGTGGATCGTTGTATCCAGTTAAAGGCGAGCAGAAATAACGATTCGAACGTTCTCCATTTTTTTAGATTCGATTAACCAATATAGTGTGTGTTTTAACTGGGATGTTAATTATTGGGTCACCCGCGCTACATAGGTGGATCCAATGATTAGGCATGTAATTGAGTCACCTGGATCTATTACGAAAACAAATTCGGACGTCAAATAACGAATTCTTACAAGTGCGCTTCCATGCTTGTGTTGCGACCTTTGAATCAGGGATAAGAGTAGCCCGCATATAAGGTGCAGACAATGAGAGGCGAGTTAATTAAGAGCTAATCCGATAATGGTGTGCGAACCAAATATAATACGAAACACGTGCAGAGTGGAGATTACAGCACAGGTGGCCTAAATATATTAAAATTAATCATCGACGTCCATAACAATCACTTCATGCAAGAAACAAACATCGCACATCTGCCTTTGATGTTTATCCTCGAAGACACCACATCTCCATCATGAATTAAGCATTAAAGACAAGCCACAGTAGCAGAACGACTGTGACCATGCAACCCAAATTGTGGACCATATTACTCTTTGGTTCTTTCGGTAAAGTCACGTAGGTATAAAATAAAATAAATCACGACGTTTCGATTGCAACACAAGCAACCATCATCAGGTGGGAAAACCACAGCAAGAAAAAAGTTTTTGCTGAAGCGGGAGAGAGAGAAAAACCTTTTTTTCTTGCTGTGGTTTCCCACCTGATGATGATTGCTTGTGTTGCAATCGAAACGTCGTGATTTATTTTATACCTACGTGACTTTACCGAAAGAACCAAAGAGTTTGGATTCCTGTAGTCACGAAAGCTTCAAATCTAGATTGTGGACCATTATGTAAACCACTGCAGTGTGCGCTCCTTCAGGGGAGGCATCGAAACACGTATACAAACTCAGAAGTATGAAGCCCTCTAGTGGCTAGGATACTTCGACAGTATTGAGGGTTGGTCCAGGTGAGATTTTTTTCTTCAGAGTATTAATTTATGCTGGAGGAATCAGATGAACTATAAAGCTCTTTATCAGCAGTGACCTCCATTTAATTATCTAAAACTTAATATTTGTTTGGTATACCAATGACTATGAAAACAGATATGTACTCTTTGGTTCTATTCGGTAAAGTCACGTAGGTAAAAATACAATAACAATTACCTACGTGACTTTACCGAATAGAACCAAAGAGTATGGATCCTTGCAGTCATGAAAGCTTCAAATCTAGAATTAAAACAGATATGAATAAGCAAAGGAAACCAATGGTAGGGGCCAATTAATTGGGGGGGGGGGTCACAAGACATCCGGACCACCTTGTACAGTACTGTATTGCAATCTGCAAAAATAGAATGATCGAGCAGTGCCTGGCTGGTGCCTCTAAAGCAGGGGTCGGGAACCTATGGATCGCGAGCCAGATGTGGCTCTTTTGATGATTGCATATGGCTCGCAGATAAAACAAAATATTCTCACTTGTTTTAATCCATCCATCGATTTTTCACTGCGCATGTCCTGTTCAGGGCTGCAGGAGCAATTGTCCATTATTTTAATTGGATGATACTGGCCTACGTTTGCCGTTGCTGGGTAAAACAGGTAAACGCCCCCTTTTGAATCAGTCTGAGACTGCGTCTGCTCGGTCATTAGCTCAAAGCTAACCCTTCGACGAAGAAGATGGCGAAAAGAAAAAAAAGACGACGAGTATCGTACATTTCAGGACGAATGGACCGAAGAATTCGCCTTTGTGGAGAGAGCGGGTTCTGCGGTGTGTCTAATTTGCAATGACAAAATTGCATCGTTGAAACGGTCGAATGTAAAGCGGCACTTCGACACGCGCCACGCTACCTTTGCATCAAAATACCCTGCGGGAGACAGCAGAAAGAAAGCGTGCCAAGAGCTTCTGAGCAGGGTGCAAGCTAGCCAGCAGCAACTCCGCGTATGGACCCGGCAAGGTGACTATAATTCGGCTAGCTTTGCTGGTTCTTTAGCAATAGTGAGGAACGGAAAACCATTCACAGATGGCGAGTATGCTAAAACGTTCATGCTGGATGTAGCCAATGAACTTTTTGATGATCTTCCGAACAAAGACAAGATAATCAAACGGATACAATACATGCCTCTGTCGGCAAGAACTGTTCATGATCGTACCATCGTGATGGCAAACAAAGTGGAGGAAACGCAAGTGAAGGACATAAATGCAGCGCCGTTCTTTTCTCTGGCTTTGGATGAGTCAACAGACGTGAGCCATTTGTCGCAGTTCAGCGTGATTGCAAGATATGCTGTTGGTGACACACTGCGCGAAGAAAGTCTTGCTGTTCTGCCATTAAAAGGGTCCACAAGAGGTGAGGATTTATTCAAGTCTTTCATGGAGTTTGCTCAAGAAAAAAGTCTACCTATGGATAAACTTCTCTCAGTGTGTACTGATGGTGCTCCGTGTATGGTGGGGAAAAACAAAGGATTTGTGGCGCTTCTCCGTGAACATGAAAATAGACCCATCCTAAGTTTCCATTGCATTATACACCAGGAGGCACTTTGTGCTCAGATGTGTGACAGGCAGTTTGGCGAAGTGATGTCGCTGGTCATTCGTGTGATCAACTTTATTGTTGCCCGAGCCTTAAATGATCGCCAGTTTAAAACACTGCTGGATGAAGTTGTAAATAACTATCCTGGTCTGCTTTTGCACAGCAATGTGCGTTGGTTGTCAAGAGGGAAGGTGCTTAGCCGTTTTGCGGCTTGCCAGAACGAAATCCGGACTTTCCTTGAAATGAAAGGCGTCGGGCATCCTGAGCTAGCCGACACCGAGTGGCTCCTCAAGTTTTACTATCTCGTAGATCTGACTGAACATCTGAACCAGCTCAACGTGAAAATGCAAGGCATTGGAAATACAGTGTTATCCCTTCAACAAGCTGTATTTGCTTTTGAAAACAAGCTGGAGCTTTTCATCACGCATCTTGAAACAGGTCGTTTACTACATTTTGAAAAACTGAGCCAATTTAAAGATGAATGCACAGCAAGTGAGCCCATTCAAAACCTTGATCTCCACCAGCTAGCTGGCTGCACATCCAGTCTCCTACAGTCCTTCAAAGCACGCTTTGGAGAATTTCGTGAGCACACTCGTATTTTTAAGTTCATCACCCATCCAAACGAGTGTTCACTGAACACAGCCGACCTGAATTACATCCCTGGTGTCTCCGTCAGAGATTTTGAAGCAGAAGTGGCTGACCTGAAGGCCTCAGACATGTGGGTGAATAAGTTCAAGTCACTGAATGAAGATTTGGAAAGAATCACACGACAGAAAGCGGAGTTGGCGAGCAAGCACATGTGGACAGAAATGAAAAAACTCCAACCCGAAGACCAGCTGATTCTCAAAACTTGGAACGCGCTTCCTGTCACATACCACACACTGCAGCGTGTGAGTATTGCTGTATTGACCATGTTTGGATCTACGTATGCATGTGAGCAGTCATTCTCACATCTTAAAAACATCAAGTCCAACCTACGATCACGTTTAACGGATGAAAGCCTCAACGCTTGCATGAAGCTTAACCTCACCAAGTACCAACCCGACTACAAAGTACCAACCCGACTACAAAGACATCAGCAAATCCATGCAGCACCAGAAGTCGCATTAATGGTGAGTGTTATAACAACATTATTTAAAAGAATAAATTCAGAGGCTTATTATACTGACATTTAGTTGAATTCACTTTTAAAATATATTATATGGCTCTCACTGAAATAAATTTCCAAATTTTTTGCTTTCATGGCTCTCTTAGTCAAAAAGGTTCCCGACCCCTGCTCTAAAGAGAGAGAGATCGGGATGGTTGGTGATGATTGCTCGATAAGGCGATCACCAGGGGGCCAAAGACGGGTGAGATGGAGAGAGAGAGTGGAGCCTCAATTGGAGAGGGTATATAAGAAGAGACAGGGTACAGAGGGGGTGTAAATTGGGAAACGTTCAAGCAACGGCTGGAAGGGAAGAAATTCGCTCGGACTTGGCTGGTAGCGTGGTACGGTGCAGGGCATGGGGCACCCGGCGCGTGAGGGGTGGCAGGAGGCGTCTCGTGAGGCGCCTGGGAGTCGTGTAACGCCGCTTCCATTCGTGCGTGTGGCAGCAAGATTGTCATGGGCTAAAAAGGTTCATGGCGAGGTCTGTTATCCAGGACTAGAGGGCTGCAGGAGAGAGTTCGTGTAGTTTAGAAAGAACGCAACCCAGCGTTTTGTTACGTTTCCCACAGGCTGAACATTGCCCAAAGACTGAAAGGAACTTCGACTATTATTATTGCGTATGGCAATATGTTCGGCAGCAAAATGCCGATGTCTGCTCGCCACGTGAGGGCTTCTGGAGAGAGTTCGTGATGTTATGCTATCCCTGCATTGAAGGAGTGAAGATTAGTGGTTTTACTACACGGCCCACAGTTTTGGGTTGCATGGCCCCAGTCGCACTGTGGCTTATATCTTATAATTTTCTTGTTGATGTTCCGATGCCGTTGATGGTTCCACCAGTGACTTTAAGAAATGTCAAAGCCAGGAGATGCCATGTTTGAGTCTTTAATTGGGGTATTTACTAGTTGCGTAACGAAACGGACACGGGAAATGTGGGGGAAAGGTTTCTAAACACACATAGGACTTGGCAGGAGTTAGTCAGCTCAAGTTTATTAAATGTGAATACTGATAAACGTTTTAGCATTCATCAATGACAAACCTTCAGTGTGGTAATTTCACTTGTATTGTGAACTTGGGTATGAAAATAAAATTATGAAACGATTGTCACCACTAATAATTAAGTATGTTTCAATACACACCACACCAAATTCAAGAATTGGCAGGATTCGGGGGTTGCGATGTTTTACATATATACATCTTAGTCTTTGTGATTTATAATGACTGCTCCACCAATCAAAATTCCTGTCGGTCTCTTATGACTTGCGGCCGCAACTGCGAATTTATTTTGACGTGACATGTTCCCAAACATTTGTAAGGCAACGAGAAAGATCTGGGGTGATGGAGCCTTAGTTTCGATTTGGTAAAGCTGGACCCTGATGTGACGGAGATATTTAACTTCCCCTGTGAAGCAGATCGCGTGCACCTCTGGTTAGAATACCTACAGGATTAACCAGGGTGGCCGTGGGGTTCGAACCGCAAATTTCTGCATCAACTGCCCAACCGACGACCACTCACTCGGCCATGTCACTGCCCCGAAATCCGCTTCACGGTTCAAGCTAGGGCAGACTATTAAGCCGATTAATCGACTAAAAAATAAAATATTAACCTCTTAGTGGTCAATTTCTGGGGCCCTGTTAAACATCGTGGCTGTCCACACCCTCTCGCGAAGGTTGGAACCTCCTCCCACATCGCCCGGCGTGACCACGCTGACGTTGCCAATGAAGTTATCCATTAAAAAAAACCCAATGCGGTTTTTTTACATGACCGACGACTCCATCTTCAGTTCAGAAACGTGCATTGTCACAGTAGGTCCGGTAACAATTCAAAGGTCTGTCAAAGCAGACTATTGGGCCAAGCATATTTCTCAAATTTGCACCAAAGCGACATGAACGTTGCTTACACCCGTTCCCGTTACGATTTTCAGCTTTTTTTTTGTTTACCCGATGAAGAAGAAAAGTTATTTATTCAGAAAAGTCTCGGCCGAGTCTCAAGATACTTTTTTTCAGGAAGGCCCTGCTACAGGTTTGGTCAGTTACTGAGTGCTTTCCCTTAATGCTGGAGAACACTCGGCGAAAAATAAGTGGGGGAAGGAACGCACTAAACACATAACTCCGCACAGTTGGATTCAATAATCCACTTTCCATTCTGCTATCTCGTGGCCACCCCTGCAGCCCCACTGTGCAATGGCAACACGGGGTGATCACTTGCGACGTGCAGCATGGGACCAAACTGCGGTGGAGATTTTAGGGAATCGGGCTGCGGTGCTCGGCAATCCATCTGTGCGGAGTCTCGCGAGTGAATTCCCCAGCGATTCGAATCGTCGGCGGAGAATCGAGCGCTTGAGAATCGGTGGGGGGGGGGGGGGTAAACGTGCAGCTAATCGGAGCGGCGCTCACAGCCGCGCATCGAGGCTCGACCAATGAGCTGCCTCGACACATCCCGCGCGCCCGAACACGCCCACCCGTGAATAGACTCGGACGAACAAACGTCGGTCGATTCGATTCCCTTAAAACTTTAAAGCAAAGCGCGAGTTCACTTAACGCCGTCGACGCGCTTACGACTTCCTCGCGACTCCAGAAACCCCCACCACCAACCCCCCCCCCCCACAATCTGGAAGCGTTCGCTTATTATCGTAAAGAAAAAAAAATTGTGTGTGGTGTAAAAAAAAATCAATTCGACGGCACTGGAATCGACGCCGTAGATTACGCGCGGATCGATCCGCCGCCTCCTTGCCCGCTTTTGTGTGTCCCGTGGTGGTGGAAGGGACGCGTTGGGGGGGCCGCCGGTGCTCCTGCGTCTCAACACTCAGTGTTGTTGTTGTTGTTATTGTTGTTTCCTTGTAATCATTCACGAGGCGACCGCCAATGTCGACTCTGAAGCAGCAGCAGCAGCAGAAGGAGGAGCGCGGCGTCGAGGCTGCGGTGGCGGGCAACGAGGCGGTCGAGGCGGGCGGCGCCTCGGAGCGCACGCCGCGCAAGAAGGAGCGCGTCTCGCCCGGCGCCGAGGCTGACGGCGGCGACGGTGGCACGGCCGAGACCCCCGAGGGTCGCAGGACGAGCCGCAGGAAGAGGGCCAAGGTGGGGGTCCCCACACCCCCCCCCCCACACACACAAAGACAAAGATCCCCCGTACAGCCTTAACATACTGCAGGGGCAAGTGTTGTTAGCAAGTAGCACCTATGAAGGCCGGTTTCGGCACACGAGGGGGGTGGGTGGCCAGCACCACGCCCGGCCGCCTTTGTATCCCCAGCGGCGATGTTAACACACCGCACCAGATACTCATTTGAGGCTGAGTCGACCTAGGGGAGGCCCAGGACCCCCCACCCCCCACACACAGCTCCCCACACACACCACCACCACAGCTTTCAGCACCCCCGCTCGCGGGGTCATGCCCCCCTCCCACCAATTGCCCATAACCTGACCTCATCTAACCTGAACTGACCGCCAGCTGAGCTGACCTACCTCGCCTTCACCTGACTTTATCACGAGCTCCGGGAAGAAGGCCGATGTGGGGCGGGGGTGTGTTTGTGGGGGGGTCTCCAGCACCCCCTTCTGGGGCCAGGTCATGACCTGACCTTCCATGTAGCCTGGCTTCATCGGCCCTGACCTCTCCCTTTCCTCGGTCTGACCTGATCCACCTTGAGCCGCGGGAAGAGAGACGAGGTGGGCGGCGGAGTGGAGTCTCTTGTCGTCTCCTCACTCCCAACACCGTCTGCCAATGCCTTAGGGCATCACATCACCCACCTTAGGAGAGGCCCAACGTTAAGTTAAAAAAAAAAAACGCCTCGCTTGCCGTTCCTTCGCCTGGCCTGGCCGAGGGCCCATTTGGAGGTCCCCAATTTGTCTCCTCCTCTTCACCATTTCTCGCGCGGCTATGCCCCTTCCCCTGACCTGGCCCTGACCTGCCACATTCTGCGTCTCTGCCCGACCCTGTACAGCATGCGCCTTGTTGTCGCCTGTAACTTCCCCCTGCTGGGGCAAAGGGCTCCCCCTACACGTCCATGTTCTCCCATTCCTCCCCTGTCCGAGTAGAAGGCCTCTGTTGCAGTACAACAGTACGGTATTTTAATTCATCTCGTTGCAATCTCTTCCACTGGTCTCTCTCTCTTTCTACCTCATTTGCCACTAGATATCTAGCTCTGTAGTTTGCGTAAATCCGCGCCGTTTCGTGTCTGGCCCTTTGTGTGCGCTTGCCCTCCACCCGCTTGCAGTGAGCTGCCTTTGTTTGAGCTCGACCTGCCCCTTCCTCTCTTGTCCTGCACGTTTGAGCCCAGCCATGCACTCCTCTGCTGCCCTAGCTAGACGTTTGTCAGCCTAGCTTGGTTACATGAAGGGCAAAGTGCCCTTTGGCGCAACGGGAAATCGGAATGTGACGCTTTGGATCTCGCTGAGTGCTGAAACAAAGAGCCCTATTTTCTGGAGTGTTTCAGACAAATGACATGCGCGCTACGTCCATCCCGTTTCTCAGTTCGCTGTTGTGTTTCCCCAGCCGTTCAGGTAGTTTTTAATGCCTTGCGAGTTGGTTGTGGTTTCGTTGGTCGTGGCATTTCTATGATGACATCTCTGCCGATGTCCAGCAAGGGGCGCTGTGTCCTTTCGCAGCCGTCCCTGGACCGTGTGTCACCCCTTGTTCCGCCTCGCTCGCTCCTTTCCCTCAATCCAAGGCTTTTCCGTCGCTTGCATTGTGGCTGTGTAAACCCGTATTTATTTATCTCTCTCTCTCTCTCCGCCGCCATGCGAGCGAACCCTGTCGTCTATGTGTAGCCACGGTGTGGTTCACAAAATAGTCCAGAATCCAGAATTGGGTGCGGAGCACGGAAGAGGTGGGCTGCTCATAACGAACGGGTGATGATGTGGTGTGGTGGTGGTGCTCCTTGTTTTGTCCGTTCTGCACCTGTATGCAAATCATGGCCTCATCTCACAATGGAGAGAGGACCAATGTGTGTGTGTGCGCGCGCGCGTGGTATATATCTATACTGCTGCCATTTATTAATATAGCCTGCGCGGCATTGACAATTCTAATGGCTAGTAAGGCGGTGAGATGTGAGGGATGTTTGTGAAACGTGGTTTGAGAAAGCGAACGCCGGGAGCGGGGAGAGGGACATTGTTATTGCGACGTCAAGAACGTTAGCTCGCTGGGTGATCCATTTACAGACGCCCCCAGTGATCAAAGGCCGTGCGTGTTGTGCGGCCGAACCGCGACGTATCAATGACCGGCTTATGCGCGTACGTTGTAAGAACATCAAGAGCCGTCAATGTAGGACAGCGTATATTTAATGAGCGTACTGTGTTGAGGTCGATCGTAGCCACGCAGAGGCTTTCGAATGAGAACGTTTTCTTAATGTATCTTGTTTTAGTGGAGTATCTAGAAATGGATCAGCTCGCATTGTCGTTTAATGGCTTGCACGTTTGCCGCGCCGTGAAACTGGAAATGTTGTGTCGACACATTCACGTTTGTAGCATTGAATGGGGAGATAAAAACAAAAATCCTTTATGCTCTCGTGATGCCTCAGGCTGCAAGATGCGTGCGAGCACAGCAGACGGTCGGGATGGAAAGCCATGGCCACACTGAGGCTGCATTTCCACGGAAGGCATGCTGCGACTGTTCAACCTGGGATAGGCATATTAACAACGAGCCACAGTGTGGATTGAATTCTATGAACAAACCATTGTGAATAAATGCGTACAGGGGCCTAGCCTGGTCTGCACCGGCATGGCAAGGTAGCCTGCAGATGGAATTTGGCCCACTGGTTAATTTACATCTGGCCCGTGGCCACCTGAGGCCTACCAGTTGGCAACAGCCTGCAAACGATACATGTCTTGCACATGTGTGCAAAATCATGGCCCGGTTTCACGATGGAGGGCCCCGTGTATACGGCCATTTGCAGCTTGTACTGCGCCGAGGATAGGGAGCATTCGTTTACATGGAAAGCATGCTTGGCTGTTTGTCCTGAGAGCAGTGTATTCTCAACAAAAGGGTGTGGATAAATGTGTGGAAGGACCTGGTCTGGAATGGGCTGATAAAGGTTGAAAGCGGGGTTGGGAAAACCTATGGCCTATGGGCTGGAATTCGGTCCTATACTTCATTTCATACCAACAAAATATATTCAATTATTATAAGTCATTGCAAGCATCTTATCTGCACCAATTGAGGACTAGAGGGGAATATTTTTTTTTACCTGGTAACACTTTCTAGATTGAATATTCAATTGTTTATAACTGTTTTTTTTGTGTTTATTTTGATGTCCTTCCCAACATCTCCGATTAGCACGGGTTGGCTACGTACGGTGCGAAAGAAGTTCAACAAACATATTTTGTAGTTGTGCTTTATAACTCCGGCGTGTTTTCAGGTTGTACTGAACAAGACGCGGTACAACCCGAAAACACAGAATTGTCTTCCTAATTTCATGTAGGAAAGGCGAGCCCTAGTTATTTTTGCACAAAACAGTTGGTTAACATGAATGTCTGTTAATTCATCTCGCCAAAGGCAATTCAAAGTCCTATTCAGGGAGCACCAAATGTATCATCGCCATTCACAGCGGTGCCTTTGTATTGCAATGAGCAGTTGAGTGCCCATTGCAGAATTACTAATGCTCTCTGAGCCGAGCAACGCGAAGGTGGACTTGCGGAAGCAAAACTATTTTTACGTTGCATTTCTAACACAGCGAGACACAGTCTGGTACTAGCACAGCACCTACACGGCGGTGCCATTCCATGGCTTCTTACATCTGCCCCCCCCCTCTTGTCCACCCGGTACGGCCTTTTGTTGTGACCGGCTCAACAGCAGGGGCCACATATGGGCCACTCTGTCCTGGTGTGTATTCATGGAACACTAGTTCTTTGTCTTTTTATAACCATTGGCAAGGGAACATTGAAAGAGTGAATATCTGCGCTGAGCACAGTGTTGCAAATGTTTCTTTTGACATTAGATTTATTTGACAGTTGCTTCTGATTTATGAAGGCTTTGCAGGAGTTTCTTGATGTAAATCTTGGCAACAAAATGAAAAGGCATCTCTCGACGACTGGCTTGGTAATACGCCGTGAAGGCGCGGTCAGAAATATAAACACTTTTTTTTACTTTACCAGGTAAGGCCCACTGAGCTATATAGCTCTTTTTCAGAAGCGACCTGGCCATAAATGATAGCTGAAAAAATTGGCTGAGATGTTTACCACCTCACCTGGTATACACAAGGTCATGGGTTCGATCCCGACCCTTACAACTGTATATTTGAAGTTTGCATGCTGTCCACGTGGTCGCATGGATTTTTCTCCAGGTCCTCCAAATTTTCCCTCCATATTTAAAAACATGCGTTTTAAGTATTTGGCTGCTCTAAATTTCCACATGATAAGCCACTTCGTTGAGCTATCATTTGTGGACAGATCGCTTCTGAAAATGAGCGATATAGCTCACGTGGGCCTTACCTGGCAAAATAAAAAAGATAGTTTAGTCCGAAGTCTTATTTTTTTCATTTATAAAACTTCAAATTAGTCTCGGACACCACTGGAATCAGCCTTGGTAGGTATGTACAAGGTTTTGCATTATATATTCGAATAAAACGCCATCTTTATACATAATGTTAACGGATTAATGGTTGTGGGTGGTTATCATGAAACACTAATACCGGGCTTTTTCATGGCTAATGCTCAGCACCTTTTGGCTGCAAATAGAGATTAGCAATGAATGAACTTATTGCTGTGTAGGATTTTGCCTTTGTGTACATCTCTCCAATGTGTTTTCGAGTTTCACCACATGTTGTCCAGCATGATGTCCGACGTTTCGCTCCATGCACTAGGAGCTTCTGAATTAATTTTTCCTGAAGAAGCGCCCAGTACATGGAGCGAAACGTCTAACATGCCACACAACACTTGGTAGAGCCAGAATAAAACATATCGGATAGCTCATGAATGAACCCAACTGCTGCTGCCCACGTTTGTTATTGGTGCAACCCCCCCCCCCATGACCCTGTGACCCTCCCCTGCCCTTTTCTCGACCATTGTTGTGCCAGGTGGAGTACCGCGAGATGGACGAGAGTCTGGCCAACCTCTCGGAGGACGAGTACTACTCTGAGGAAGAGCGCAAGGCCGAGAAGGAGCGGAGGCAGAGCACTGTGCCCCCTCCGCCGCCTCCCCCGCCCCCCGAGGAGGAGGAAGATAGCGACGTGGATGAGCCGTCCGGTGAGAGCTTGAAAATATATATACATCTATCTTTCCCAATTTGATTACAGTTATGGAATTGTCGTCGTGCTGTGAGAGTTTGTGTGTCTCTATTTGTCTATGTGTTTATTTGAGTATACGTGTGTACTGTGTACCCCATAAGTGGAGAACATGGGGCAGAGGGGACAAAGTCTGTGGGGTACGTATGAAGTCTTTTGGGGGGGATTTACACTCTGAAAGTTAATGGTGTAACTTCCGAGCTTTGATTAACAAAAAAACATATAGTACAAATACGGGGGGGGAGAAAATATTATTACGGGTTGAGCAGTGGAGCCAAGAAGGCTGGAGGATTCTCGCCCACATTTGTTGCCAGCTGTGTTTGTGTTCGTTTTATTTCAACATTTTAAGTTCAGGAGTTACTCGATCAGACATTCTCATTTCACTGGGAGCCATGGAGAGGTTACTTGACTAAAATGACAGCAGATACATTTACTAAACACTCAAGACATTTAAAGTCATTGTATAAATAAAATATGATAACCTGAAATTATAATACAGCTGTACAGCAGTATTCTTGTGTATACCAACACGCCTATGTGCACAGTGCTTGTGTGTGTGTGTGCTTACATAAGCCTTTATAACATGGCATGGAGCCAAAGTAAATGGATCACAATAGGCGCATGCCTGCCTAAGTAAATGACATTGAAATAAGCCGAATTATCTCAAGGAGAGCATGTGGAACAACAACAACAACAGGCTGGCACTGGTGCACACGTGAGCGGGTGAGTGTGGGCGTTTTGTGACAGGCCTGGAAGGGGCAGCGTTCCAGAGCCGCCTGCCGCACGACCGCATGACCTCGCAAGAGGCCGCCTGCTTCCCCGACATCGTCAACGGCAATCCGCAGACACAGAAGGCCTTCCTGTACATCCGCAATCGCACGGTGTGCAACGACCCCCTGCATTGCCCCCCTCCTAGATCTCTACCTCCCCTCTGAACTTCCCACACAGCCGTGATGCCCTACGAGGCTCCAACTTGCTGCCAAAAAAACAAGGGGCTCGTTCACAGATTGTGGAATTGTAAAATTTTTAATTATGATTCGTCCACCAAGGAAATGGAGCAATGAAACAAGTTCGTGTGAAGGTACATGGAGGAATATTACCATTGCAGGATCGTGAGAGGCGGTGGCGGTTTGGGGAGCCCTTCATCTAGCAGTGGATTACCCGTGGCTGTTGATGATGAAGAATTATAATAATAGCTTCTTAGTATCCAGCAAGGGGTGGAATGGTGGTGCAGTGGGCCTCACTAGGTTTCAAGACTTTTAAGAGACTGTGCAATGCGATGTTTCAAACTCTTAACACAAAATGTATTGACCTATATTTAATGACCTCTTATCTACGCTCGTGGGCGATGCACTTTAACACGTGCCCAGAGCTGGAAATTTTGCTAAAAAATAAGAGAACCCGAATTTTACATTGTGAATTATTTCTTGACGTTGGTGGAGAGCCAGGGCCAGTTCATATATATCACTCCCCACTTAATGTAAGCTGTGGCAGGGAATAAAAACCTATCCAGCATGGTTCATGGTGCATTGTGTTGACCACTGCACCTCCACCAGGCATTTTTTTTGGAAATAGCACAGTTGGCTGTGTACGGTGTGAAAGAAGTTCAACATGCATACATAAAAAAAAACTTAAATTAGTAAAAAGTTTGATTTGTGTCCACGCAGCTGCAACTCTGGCTCGACCAACCCAAGACACAGCTCACATTTGAGCAGATGTTGCAACAGCTGGAGTCTCCTTACAACAGTAAGCACTTAATCCACATTCTCAAACACCATAGTTATTGCGGGACACATTAAGCAAAACAAAAACAGATAGCCTGGAAATTTAACTCTTGGTTACTGAAATTATACAAAGTTGTAATGTATTTATCAATTAAATGTAGTCACTTCGCCATCACATCGTCACACTTGCCTTGCTTTTGTAAACTTCCACTAACTTGCCCGTCATTGGGTAATTAAGCAGCTACAGTTTGTATGCTATTGTCAAGCACTAGATCTATGGTTCGTACTGTTGTCCCTGAATCACAAAAACTCTGCATTTGCCCGCCTCATGTGAAGGTATTATTCATATAAGACCCGATGGCTGAAGCTTCAAGGGACCGCGAGAGATAGCAACGGCTGGGGGGGAGGGGGGGGGGGATGGCCTTCATCCAGCAGTGGATTGATCATGACCGATGGTGATGCTGATGTGTTTACGTGTGCTGCAGGCGACGCACAGCTGGTGCATCGTGTGTTCAACTACTTGGAGCGGCACGGGCTCATTAACTTCGGGATATTCAAGCGCGTCAAGCCCCTGCCAGGTACGTCCCACAGTCTCGCCTTCTCGCTCGCGGCCGCACGGCGCTCTGCCGACCAATTCGTGTGTGCGGTCTGGGCAAACGCTCTTTGAAATGTTGTAACCGCCCCGTGTTGCTCTTGGCACCACAGTAAAGAAAGTGGGAAAGGTGATGGTGATCGGAGCAGGGGTTTCAGGGCTCGCTGCCGCGCGGCAGCTGCAAAGCTTTGGCATGGATGTCACCATTCTGGAGGCCAGGGTACGTTTCTTGTTTGTTATCTTTTCACAAGATTTTTTTTATTTCTATCGTGTGTAGAAGTACTGAACTGCTGTCATCTTTAGAACGCATCTATAAATGGTGTGTATGCATATAACATCCAAAGATCGTGCATTTACGCTTTCAAAGTTGTAGTCTTGGCGAAATCTGGACTCTCATGTCGAATCCCCAACGGGAGACCTGGCTGTTACTTGCCGCTAAGTTGAATGTAAATATGGTTCAAGCTGGATATTAGCGCAACCCTTGCTTCTGTTCAAAAAGTGTGCTTGTATCAAAAGTTGCATTTTGCCTTCCCCCGTTTTGGGGAAGGAAAAAGGCAACTAATGTCAGAAAATATTGCTTATACCAGAACTATGCCGATGTAAGGTTTCTTAGATCCAGATTCCACTGTTTTAGTTGAGTGTTTTTTTTCTGTCGTCCAGGACCGAGTGGGAGGTCGTGTGGCCACGTTTCGGAAGGGAAACTATGTCGCTGATCTTGGCGCGATGGTGGTAACTGGCCTGGGTATGTACTCCATGTGCTTTGTTAAAAATGCTGTCGATAATATCTACGTTAACTTCATATCTGAAAAAAAACACATTTATATGGAAAGTGGTTATATCATTGCCAATATTTAGCCATTTTGTTCCCGAGTAATGTATTTTTGGCAAGTACATATATTTGCCATCCTGCAGACATTGCATACATTCCTATATATTACAAATTTTCGACCCTAAGAATGTCGAAAAATATATATAGGCATCGTATAAGTCAGTTGATTGAACAAATCACATTGTACCTAGTATAGTAATATTTATATTTAAATTAAGATGTAACATTCACCACCATTTATTTAATTGATAGCTATTTGAAACATATAATTTGTTTACATCCCTTCGTTAATTGACTGCTGGATAAAGTTCCCCCCTCCATCCGCACCGTGTTGATCACGGGGCTTATTTAACCATACTTCACACTACTCAGTGCAGTTTGTTGATGTTGGTGGAGTGCCAGGGCTAATTCAGATATAACTTCCCACCTCACGTTACCTGTGGCAGGGAATAGAACTCGGAATGCTGGGTGTGATGTTGCTGTGTGTTAACCGCTGCACAACTGCTCCCCCAGGAGTTTTAGTTGCTCATATAAACAATTAAATATTTTTTAGTGAGTTTAACCTGACCGTACACAAAATTTTCCATCCGCTTCATATGTTGCGCCTGTCCCGATTCGGTGGGACACAACCTTGAGAGACCGGCTGAAACATTTGGAATCCTAGAACCAGATTGTGATATGCAAGTGTCACAAAATATCTGAATCTGGTTCAGGCCCTGGGCAGGGGCAGGGCTATTAATACATTCATTGCGTGTGACATTCAGTTAGTGCACTGTGAGGACACGGAATCATCACGTGATTGTGCCACGGTGGCGAGATGTTAACTACATCGCCTGGTATACATGAGGTCGTGGGTTCGATCCAGGCCCTGATGGTTGTATAGTTTGAGTTTGCATGTTCTTCCCTTGGTTTTTCCCTCCACATTTATAGTTTTTGGCTGAAATAAATTTCCATATGATAAGCCACTTGGTCCAGCTATCATTTGTGGTCAGGTCGCTTCTGAAAAAGAGCTGTATATCTCAGTCGGGCTTACCTGGTAAAATAAAAATTAGTTTTGGTTGTCTAAATGGATGTTGACTCATTCATTGCATGTGACTTAAGTCAGTACACTGAGAACATGGCGACACCACGGCATGTACACGCATGTCGACTCGGTTATTGCATGTAATGTCAGTGGCACAGCTTGGCTTATGCACTGCAAGAGAAGCCCCCGGTGCCTTGTGAACCACGCCGCTATGGCTCACTGCGGCCCCAGCAAGGCTCAGTTGTACATTGGTAGATGCGAATAATGATAGCATGTGCTTCAGTTGTTGTCAAACGCTTGCGTTTGCTCCCTGTGCCCTCTCCCACAGGTGGAAACCCAATGGCTGTCGTCAGCAAGCAAGTCAATATGGAGTTGGCAAAGATTAAGCAGAAGTGCCCCTTGTATGAAACGAACGGCCAGTCGGTAAGTACAAATTGCACGACACGGGCAGCATTACATGCCAATTGGGAAGGAGAAATAAGCAATGCCACATTATAGTTGCGGATTTTAATTGTCAATACGTTTCACTCGTATATAATATCTGGGTTCGTAGAGCATGCTGATATGTTTGCAAGACGTACACGCATGTTGCAGATGCTGTGAAGTGGATTGGAACAAGTACAGCAAGTAGGATGCTTATTTGTGCAGAATTAGTGGCCTTCAATTATATGCGTGGCATATTTTCCACTATATCCAAAAATGCTCATTGAGTAATTGGTCAAACATCCCCATGTTGGATCCTCCTGAAGAAGTGTATTTAAGTTAGCTCATGCTTCCTAGGGTAAACTAATAAATATACTTAATTTGAAGTAATTTTAAATTATAATTAGAATATAAGTCAGGTATGGGTGATTGTATCATTGATGGTACTAAATAGACTGATACTGCTGGGTGATTATATTCATTGATGATGAGAGAATTGCAGATAATCCATTGAGTTTAATTGTTATGGCTTGAGTTGTTGATAGAATAAATATCTGCCGACTATCACCTGATGCCCATTTTCCAAGCTCTTGAGCAAATTAATCGATTGAGCAATGCTCTCTACAGAGCTGTGATTTCCAGCCCACTTTTAAAGATTTTATTTCAGGGTAGGATCTTAATTGTTTGTTTACAGATATATATCACGGTGTACAATTTGTATTATTTGGGTCTTTCGGTAAAGTCACGTAGATAGGTTCAAAGAAAATAACAAAAAACTACGATGTTTCGATCGCAACACAAGCAGTTGTCTTCATCTTTTATCTTGCCCTTGCAGCAGAGCCTCCATTTTCACTCAATTGGATCAACGTCACAATTTATTGCAATATCTTATAAGTCGCTTGTTATGGACTATTTTCATTATTGACCGGTTTGGAATTTACAGCGTAACAAGTAATATGCCGCCTCTTTCCTGAAAGGCGAAACTCGATAAAAAAAAAAAATAGGATTTGGTTTGAATTTCTCAGTCGGTTAACTCACTAAATACGGATAAATGAATGCTTACCACAATCAAAGCAGCATTTCATCGTTGGGCTGTGTGCGAGTTTTTTCTGTAAAATTTTACCGTAATCCTGTTGTAATATTGCATTAAGCAATGGCTAGTCCGATGGAAAATTCCACGTATGGGTAGCTCTTCCAGGCTCGGTGCCACCTACCGTGCTTGCGGCATATATATTTATTTCCATATAAAATTCTTTTTCAGCAGACGCTGCCTGCCAGGATCAACATTTAGCTGGAGGAGGGGGGTACATTTGCACGCAATAATAAAAAGGCATTACACCTTCTGTCTTTATGATTGAGTTATTGTTCATTGTACAAATCAGTCAACCTGATTAGTTGTCTTGGTTGAAATAATAAATCAATTTGGCGAGCGTTGGCTTTTTTTTACAAAGGATGAAAACTGTTCACGGAACATATATGCACGTATTTTTTTTATATATATACGGTCAGCAGGCAGATATCTTAAAAAAATAGATTTTGCCGATGTTAAAAGTGGAAAAATGTATTAAGAATAGACTCGTGAAACTTTTTTTCACAAAAAGACTTCACAGCGGTAGTGATGCGCTTGTGATTCCCCCCCCCCCCCCGACCTCCAAATGCTGCCAAGATTGTGCAGTGCACAGTAAACACACATTCACCGATAAGAAACTGTCAGGCGCACACCGAGGACTTAAGGTTGTGCTGCCAAATTGCGCCGCCCACGTCTTGAACTCTCTCGATAACGATCGCGACCGCAACAGTGGTCCCACCGTTGTATAAACGCTGCGTTTCCCCTATTTTGTACCGACGTGGCGTTTGAGCAGTCGCCGTTTCAAAACGCAGTTTAAAACGTACGGGTTTCTCTTTTTTTTTTTTCAGTGTGCATGTTTCTAAAGATGCACGTTTGTTAACACTCACCAGTGTGTAAAGTAGTGTGACCATTTTCTGAAACGTTTTATGTTCCGTTTGAATGCTGCTTGTGTGTGTATAGTGGTATATCTTGCTGAAGTCTGCAGTGGTTTGTTAATGCCACATTTATGTAAAGCATTATGTTTTTTTTTTTATAATTGCAAACAATTGTTGTTTAAATTTAATTTTCCGGCTCGCCTGACACTACAGATGACGCGAGTTACATTTGTCCGTTCGAAATTAAAAGGCAGCGCTGCAGATTTTGACATGATTTCATGTTCAGTTCACAAAAGAGGGCAACCAGGGTTCACAGTGTAACAAGAGACCGTTATTTGGAACATTGAAAAGTTGCTTACAATTACGTTGCAACGATGTGAAAATCGGTGCAATGTCCTTGTCAAATTCTCATGCCAAACTGCAATTCACTGTCCATTTAATGATATATCCCAGATTCGGTCTTGTGTGGAGTTTGTTTGCACAGCTGCATATTTTTAGTTTGTACTTGGAATGATAATATAGTTTTGCAAATTGCCTGTTACAATGCTTGTGATTCATGTATTTCCATTTTTACTAAGTGTAAACAACTAGAAATGACTCGGTTGCTCCACCGGGAGGAAGACGAAAGTATTCCTGAAACACAAGTGAATTATGAAAAATAAGAAAAGGTTTTTACCCTTTCTGGCAATAAAGCAGGAGGTGTTAAGATGTTCAAACAGAAACCTGTTTTATTTGTATGTTCACAAGTACTGTGGGTGGTGAATGCAGTAACTTGATTACTTGCAAAAAGGTTTCAATTTGGTGTTTGAACATCTTAACACCTCCTGTTTTATTGCCAGAAAGGGTAAAACCTATTCTTGTTTTTCATACTTTGATACTGGCAAAAAAAGATCCCATGACAAGTGAATTATTTGTACTGTAATTTGTTATCCCTTCGAAAAGAAAAAAAAGGGGAATCGGTGCGATCTGTCGGGGGAGCTCCCAGTGGAATGCGAAGAGGCTTTTGTGACTTTGACTTGTTCTGTTATTTCTCCTATGTTCGCCCTGCTCCGGGGATATTGAATACTTGAAGGGAGAAAGATGCACTAACGTACGTATGACATTGTGATCTCTCAACAAAACAAAAAGCTGAACTGTAATAAACGGGTCAACGTGGTTGATATTTTAAAAATATGGCTGTATGGCTACACTGTGTTGCATAATCGATTCTGCGGATACACCACAGCGCTGTACCGAAAGATACTCCTGCTCTGAAAAAAAAAAAGTAATGCCACCAATCAGAATTAGTTTTGAGTCCCACGCTACGTAATAATTTCTACGTATTAATGGGTGCACCATAGCCATTACTCATGTTATAATCCATTGATTAATATGTATGTATTATGATATAAGCATTGGATCCTGTTTGTGAGAATAAATTGTTTATGATTTTTGAATAAATAAATGCAGGCGTGTGGCAGTGGTTTGTGCAATGCACTATGAACCAAGTGGGTGCCATGGTGCTGAGATCTTAACTACCTCGCCTGGTATACAGGATGTTGTAGGTTCGATCCCGACCCTGACACCTGTATATTTGAAGTTTGCATGTTATCCCCATGGTTTTGTAGATTTTTCCCCAGATCCTGTGGTTTTTTTCCCTCCACATTTAGAAATATGTGTTTGGAGTATTTGGCTGCTATACATTTCCACGTGAAAAGCCACTGCATTGAGCTATCATTTGTGGCCAAGTCGTTTCTGAAAAACGAGCTATATAGCTCAGTGGATGCTTGCCTGGTAAAATAAAAATAGTATAGTATAAGTGACCAGAGTTTGATCCTGGCTATGGTCAGGTGAGCCCAAGACCCAACAGGTCTTGGGCTCACCCTTTTCACCAAACCGCACCGCGGTTTGGTGAAGTATCGTCAAAACATCACATGGCTGACACCACATGGGGAGGCCTTCATCCAGTAGTGGATGGACAAGGGCTGTAAATTAAGAAATGCACATGATATACTCATGTTGTGTTTGGGCTAATGACAGACGATAAAAAAACTACAGACAAAATTGCAACGTACAAATGGGTGAATCATTACATGCTTAATAACCAAATATGGGAAAGGGGGGCAGGGCATGTGTAGGTATGGGGTTATGATTATGCTTCGGGGCTACTGATTGGTTGCAGCATTTTTTTTTATCGGAGCAGCAGTGTTTTGCAATCCTATGCCACTCACCATGTCTTTCCGCATGCAGATGTGACTCGAGGTTGTATTCCAAGAGGTTACTCGCTTCCCAGCGATCACGTACCTGGCCCCCCACAATGTGAATGGGCCCCACGGTTTGTGATCGACTAAAAAAAGAAGTTGGAACTGAGAAAATCTGTCTCTGAGCCTCCATAAATCAGCTGTTTAAGACTTATTAAAAGTACTTCAAAAGACATGGACAAATCCCAGCAAACTACAGTAGACTCTCGATTATCCGTGCTAATGATGGGCAGGATGGCCGCGGATAATTAAAAATTGCGGATAAACGATAAAATCCATTTCCTGCAAATCTCTATGCCAAAAACCACGAATATACGATCGCCCGATAGATGAGCATGCTCGGTGATAACACTTTCCTGCTCCCGCGCAGAAGACTGTCCACTAAGTGGATAGCAGAGCATTGCCAATCAACATTAATCAGACTCCACTTACTATTCAAAAGATGCAACTACTGTACTGTAGAGGCGATCACATGAATTTTGGATTAACCGGAGCACATTTGTTTGGTTTATGCACGTGACTTGTAAGAAACATTTAAAAGAATAATAATGTACAACTATTTTTACATGATTAATTTGGGCTTAAGGGAAAATCCATGAGTTATTAATTTATGTCAATCTCAGGTACCCAGTAAATCCGCAAATCGGATAAACTGCGTGGAGAACCGATAGTCTACTGCATATTGATAACCATGTATCTAAATGCTTTGATAAACTATCACAACTTTAAAAGTCTATAATATTTAGCTGCGATCAATTTATTCAAATGCAATAAAAATTGGTGTCAAGGAAATGTCAGGAGTCGCATTAATAGGAGTCCGCATATATGGGCACAAACAGCGGAAGGAATATGTTGGCATAGCAATTGGATAGCATGGATGAGAAGGCCAAATATCCTCTAGGGGAGCTCTCGAGAGTTTTCTCAAGTGGAGGCCTTTCTGCCAGCAGTGGCACAAACAAATTTTCCCAAAACGGATTTGCGACGTTTGTAAATGTCTTGCTGGTATCACAGTTCTTTCAGCGATAGTGCGACTGGTCCGTGAAAGGGAGCATCCTCTTGACTTACGATCTCGTGGTACCTGCACAGGAAAACATTCCCACTGATGATGTCTGAACCAGGCGTACCTACCGTACACTATTACTAATGCATATGTTATTGCGCTCGTGCGCTTTATAGCTCTCCAATGTGTTTTTGGTTTGTCCAACGTTTTTCTCCGTGTGCTGGGAGCTTCTTCTGAAGTCGGTTCCGGATGAAGCTCCCAGCACATGGAACAAATTGTTGGACATCGTGCTGAACAACATTCAGCACAACCCGAAAACCCTTGGAAGGGCGATATGCAACTGTTCTAGGCTGTGAGGCTGTGTTCAATCTTTAACCTGCATGTCTCCAACAACTTAACTTTGTGCTCTGCTATCTTATGGGACGTACATGCCACACGTGCTATCCTTTCACAAGATGCAAATGCTTTGATATTTAACCAACTGATTTTTCCCATTGCACATTTTTATCCATAATTATTTGGACTCATGGTTGATTTGCCTTGTTGAGATTTTAACTTGTGTACATTTGATTTGAAGAAAATTGTGAATTATTGCATTGGTTTTGAAGGTTTTGTGGAAATGTTAAGCAGCTGTTAAGAAGTAAATGGTTTGATCTGTTCCCAAGATATTTTGCACACACCTCATGTGGACCTTTAATCATCGACTTGAGCTTGTGAAGTGGTTATTTTTGTGTACTTTCAACAACATAGAAATTCAGCTGCACCATTTAGCCTTTGCCATTGGAATGCATTTGCCCTTAAACTTTTAACAACTTCGTTTTGCGGTAGATTTAACTCGCCGGCACAATTAATTATGTGGGGATTTTTCTTTTACAAGAATGGTAATTTGTTTTGTTTAGATTCCACCTGATCCCCTGTTAAATCTTATGGTCAATATGCAAAAAAAAATCCATAAAATAAGCATTTTTGGCATAACTTACTTTTCTGAAAGCATTCGCGTAACTTTTGGCATCTTGATGTGCACGCGAAAGAGGCATTTTTTCAAGCAAAACGTGGCAAGTATATTTCACACATTATTGAAAGTACTGTTTATTCCTAGAATCACAGTTGGCCTTTTGCAGGTTGCTCGTTTTATGACCGGAGCTTGCGCGTCAAATTTTGGACGGGGTTTAAACGGTGGTTAGATTTACCCACGTGCATTTAAATTTGAATCCGAATCCTGCAGGCTTTCCACAATACCTCGCTCTGAATTTTTACTCGCTTCGAACCTTCCACCATTTTTGTTGTTGTTGATGTGCCTATTTCAGGCTCCCCTGTTCTTCTTCCCCCATTCGTCGTCGCCGTGCGCTGTTCTCGCCTCGCATTGCTTTGTAAAGAGATGTCCGGGCATGATGCTAGCAGGCTGCCCTGTGTCCAGTAAGCTGTCATCTCATTGCCACATTATTCGGGGGAGTATTAACAGGAGGCACTGTCTTTGAGCTAAAGGAAATTATTTTCATTTCGTAAAGCGTAACCAGCCATGCAACCGGATAGACGTTAATTTGGATATAATGAGTCCCAATTGGTAAATGTGTATTATTAGGCTGTGGTTTAGAAGGATACAGCAACATACAGCAACACACATTGACTGGTGTAGATGAGTTAAATATCTCGCCGTGACAAATGGCAAAAAAAACTAAAATGAGTTGCACCCTCTCGTTCCCTGTTAACCGAGCCCTCGGTAACGATGGTCACTGTAGCGCTGAAGTTTTCCCGCAAAATTTGAACATGCCGCACCACCGTTAATTTTGACAAAAAGCCATAAGAGCGAGATTCTCCGACACGGCGGTGGTGCTCCGGCGAAGGAGCCACCGCTACATTGGCCGTCGTTTAACGACGCGTGCTGCCCGCCGCGTGTGTCGCAGTGAGTAAATTCCCCCCACCGCTATCCCAAGCAGGTGCCCAAGGAGAAGGACGAGATGGTGGAGCGGGAGTTCAACCGCCTGCTCGAGGCGACATCCTACCTGAGCCACCACCTCGACTTCAACTTCCTCAACGGAAAGCCCGTCTCCCTCGGCCAAGCCCTGGAGCTCGTGATACAGTGAGTGCGGCTGGACCTTGCGATTCAGAGGTCGCGGCCGGGACGTTTTGTGTTCATGCTGCCGGCGGCGGCGGCGGCTGTTGAAACTGTGCCACAGGTTTCTTTAAATCCCCGTGCCTCTGTCCACCCGAGCGGTCTGAATGGCTACGCCGCAGTCGGTCAACTGGCAGGGGCAGGTGAGGTGACTTGTGGGTATTCCCCACCGCTTTCGAGAAGTCTGACCAGTGTGGAAGAGCAGGCCAAACACCTTCCAGAGGGATTCTCTTGTAGAAACGTATATATGTTGAACTTCTTTCGCACCGTACATAGCTAACCGCGCTAATCTGAGGTGCGGAGGAAGGGCAACAAACTCTTGGAGCTCGCTGTACGTATGTTGAACTTCTTTCGCGCCGTACGTAAGCCAACCGCGCTAACCGGAGGTGCGAGGGAGGACAACAAACTCTTGGAACTTCCTTTAGTGGAGGCCCTTCTGGCAGCGGTGGCGTGAGCAGGCAATTCCAGTGCTGGCACCGTCGTTTTCCCATAATGCATTTAAACATTGCATTGTTGCTTAACAATTCTGCAAGCTGCCTACGTACAGTTGTTATTGCCTCCAACATCTGTGCGCCTCCTCTTGGGTAGTTTGTGACGAATTGGTCTATCGGTTGTGTGTTCTGAGGGGTGCGTCGAGTCTCATGTCGTTGCGTCCTACGTGCGCCTCTTTGCACGCAGGCTACAAGAGAAGCACGTGAAGGACGAGCAGATTGAGCACTGGAAGAAGATTGTCAAGAGCCAAGAGGAGCTCAAGGACTTCCTGAACAAGGTACGAGTGGGAACTCTGCAAAACTGTCATTGCAGCACACACTTGTTGTAAATGTTGTTGGCCAAATTTTATGAAAATGAACAGAATATGTATATCCTTTTATAGTGCTTCTCCACTCTGGCACTGTGCCTTGACACACGGGTAAGAAGCCTACGAGCCTTGTAGACCTGGTGAACTATACTGGATCGGGACAGTGAGAGTGAGACACCGTGGTCCCTTCACCAAACAATCCCCGCCGTCTCCACCAATGACTGACGTGCCTAAACCATGGCCTGTAGTCCCCAGTAACTCTAGTTCCACCAGCGATGGTGTCGGCTGGGTAGGTGCAGAAGCAGGGGGTGCTAAGAATCATTGGGTATTAACAGGGCAGCTATCTTTTTTTGTTTCTGTTATTTGAGATAAAATGCGATGGCCAATTAACATTCTGCTGTTGTGTTACATTCGTGAATCGCACGTCCTGTTGCAATGTGCTAAAGTGGATACCTTTTAATTAGCTGGGAGCACCCATCAGATAATTAGTTTCGTACAAAATGTACTTTAACGTGGCCCATCAGCTCCTCGGTAAAGTGAGTGTTGTCCACTAATGTTTGAGAGTGTTCAGGGAAGTGACTTGATATGGGAACTAATTAATTCCACATTTAAATGCTTGAAATGTGAGACGTGCCTTAAAAACTCCCATGGTTTGTTGTAAGAGGAAATGCTTGGTTTGGAAGTGGTTCTTTTTGCCCAGAACACGTCGGGCACACAGAAGAATGTTACATTTCTCTTAAGAGCATTCCCCTTCCCAGTAGGCTCTGAAGGGAAAAGTAGACTCGGCGCTTGGGCAATAATAATGTGCTTTTGTACCAAATTGGAAGTTCTATTTTAATACTTCATACTGGATTTGATGTGACACATAATTGAAGGAGAATCATCCTTGACCAATGTTGCCCGGCTCTTAACATACGTACACGTATAGACGCTGCGCATAAAGCATTGCGTGTCAACCGCTGCTTGTGTTCAGATGGTGACTTTGAAGGAGCGCATTAAGGAGCTGCACCAGCAGCAGAAGGAGGCCTCTGAGGTGAAGCCCCCGAGAGACGTCACCGCCGAGTTCCTCGTCAAGAGCAAGCTACGCGACCTCAACGCCGCCTGCAGGGTACGTCTGTACGCCAGGGCAGTGGTCGCTGCATCTCCCCCCACCGACCCCGCCCCGACCCCACCCCGACCTCACCCCGACCCCACCCCGACCCCACCCCGACCCCACCCCGCCCCCGCTTGGTCGCTGCATCGTGCGCTTTCGGATGCGCTTCTGCGGGCCGTCTGGAACGCTCTTCCTTTCGATATTAGGAAGCCACTGGGAGCTATGCACTTTTAAATAATATAGATTGAAAACGCATTGCTTGAAAGCTGCTTTTTGTGTTTAGTTTGGTTGTTCCTCACCTCCGATTAGCACGGTTGACTACGTGCTATGCAAAAGAAGTTCAACCTGCATATGTACACTCCTCAAAGGAAGATGTAACCCAAAAATAGATGTCTCACGTGTGTTAGAAAACGTGCCTGCTCAAATGAATATATGTTTCGATTTAAAGCTTTCGTGACTGCAAGGATTCATCTTCTTTGGTTCTTTCGGTAAAGTCACGTAGAATGAGAATAAAATAATAAATTGATAAAATTAAATAACACAATAATATTCTCACGACGTTTCGGCCACAACACAAGCGGCCTTCATCAGGTGAAGGGACGAGACTGTCTGTCCTACCAGACAGTAGGACAGACATCAGGTGACAGTCTCGTCCCTTCACCTGATGAAGGCCGCTTGTGTTGTGGCCGAAACGTCGTGAGAATATTATTGTGTTATTTTATTTTATCAATTTATTATTTTATTCTCATTCTACGTGACTTTACCGAAAGAACCAAAGAAGATGAATATTTGTTGTCCGTACGATACGTGCCTCTGTACAAATCGCCTAATGCGATCCCATTAGATCTCGAGCTATGTGGTGTTGAGCTTGGATAGTGCTTGAGCCAGTGTTGTTGGCTGTGGTGCTACATGGTGGGCAGCAGAGGGCAGCGCAGCAAATTATGTCTGTTCACTACTTCTCCGCTCCCGCATTGTTGCTATCCCCTGCCTTTGCCAACCCACACTGACCAGTCTGGTGAAGTCTGGTCAAAATAACCCCCGTGACCTGCACAGCTTGGGAAGGCCCTTATCTGCCGCAGTTGATTGACAAGGACTGTACGGGTATATAATACCATCTGTTTTTGGGCTGTATATTCCATGTAACAACCATCTGCGCTCTTCCGTTGTATAGCTGTTGCGTGACTTGGCATTAGGTGTTCGCGTACATGGAATGATGCTAACATCGCAGGTTTTCTTTGCTCGTTTCTCTGCAGGAATATGATGAGTTGGCCGAGTCGCAAATCAAGTTGGAAGAGAAGCTGCAGGAGTTGGAGGCAAACCCACCGAGGTAGTGTAATTTAAGGGCCCAAGGTCAACATTAACCAAAAGCGGAACTCTGTTCTGTCTCTCTACGCATAAATAAAATGTCCATCAGTCTTTTCTCTTTTCAAACCAATATTAATAAGCAGCATTTGACCGGTCCAGAGTTTTGCATGCTTTGCTTGCTTGTTTGTACAAATGCTGTTTTATAACATTGGTATGGAAAGCCAACAGGCTGATGGACTAAAACATTTTTGTATTTGTGTAGCGACAGAATAGAATTTTGCTTACATGCGCTATTACCTATAATTCTTCACAACACATAATAATGAGTTTTGTGTTCAGTATTAACCAAAAGGGCCTGCTTGCTGAACAAGCTCCGAGCGATGCTTTTTGTGGCTATTGCGTAATAGTTCCAGCTAGTTGTAATCAGTATGCGTATGATGGGTCTAAGTTTGTGTCTCCGCAGCGACGTGTACTTGTCTTCACGGGACCGTCAGATTCTGGATTGGCACTTCGCTAACTTGGAATTTGCGAATGCGACCCCACTGTCTACGCTGTCTCTGAAGCATTGGGACCAGGTAAATGGCATCATCGTCATCACCTCTTCCTTCACCGCAATGGTCATGGGTGTGCTACCGATGCCCCGGCTGTCAACCCTATCCATCTTTGTCCTTTGCAGTCTTTGTCAGGTTCTGTGTGCCCATTTATTAGTCCAAGTTATCAAATTTGCCATCCAATTTATCTTGGGTTGTCCTTATTCCTTTGTTTTTTCTATCATGTTCTGTAAGGTACTGTTGGTTAAGTCCCCATTTTCTTGTCAATTGTCCAAACATTTGCCATTTGCTTTACGGTATTCCCTTGTTATTCATGAACTTGTCCACGATTTTGGCTATCCGCGAATCGCATCTCTACAGGACAGCATCCAGAGAGAGAGAAAGTGATGAGAGAGAAATTTTGTTTATGTATTTAACGTCATTCGTAGGCCAATATCATCCACGAAATTTGCTATTCACGAACATCTGTGGAACCTATATCCCTCGCGAATAACGATGGAATACTCTACAATTGTCAACACTGGTTGACAGTCGTGAACATTTCAGCTGGAACGTATTTATATGTGAACTGAGCTGTGTAGTCTTGGTAGCAGTCTTCTTGAGCATCTTATCTCAAATGCTCGTATTGTATTCATCTGTCTCTGCGGTGTGAGCATCTGTGCATTGCATCCACATAACAGTGTAGAAATAACTATTGGGCATAGCAGTCGTGTTTGAGTGTTAATATTTTGTCTGCCCTTATCCATTTGAGTTTTGCTTAGAGATAAATAGCGAATGTTTCAGTGTACGATTGAGAGATTATAAAAGTTAAGTGTTTATTGCTTGGACGCTTTATCGGTTTGTCACAGCGTCTAGTGACCCAGAACAACAAACTTAATTTCTTTTTGTGGAAATCGCAATTTTATATGTCGACAATAATTCTTTGGTTCAAATCGAACTTAGCTTCACAGTGCATGAATAAATGTATGCATGTAAACATGATTAATATATGTTCAAAGATGTTTTTTTTTTAAATTCTCTATCAATCTTGATTTGAAGTCACGTAGGTAGAAAAAGTAATAGATCACCACGTTTCGATCGCGACGCAAGCAATTGTCATCAGGCGATTGCTTGTGTTGCGATCGAAACATCGTGATCCATTATTTTTTTTTACCTACGTGACTTTACCGAAAGAACCAAGGCTTTTCTCTATCCTTTTTCCCTATTGTGCCCTGACGTGCGAATGCACTTTCGATGCGCTTGTACGGCGCGTTGATATGCCGTGGCATTTTACGCGGCAAACAGCTACAAATCCTTGTGCTTTAATTGTTAAAGGAAGATCCGCGTATATAATTTCAGGATGATGACTTTGAGTTCTCCGGGAGCCACCTGACGGTGCGGAATGGCTACTCGTGCGTCCCGGTGGCGCTGGCCGAGGGGCTTGACATCAAACTGAACACCGCCGTGCGCCAAGTCAAGTACACCCCGGCCGGTGAGAGACCGCTCGCTCACGTGGTGGCTAGGAGATGTTAACTCCCTCGCCCGGTATGCAAGGAGTTCGTGGGTTCGATCCCGACCCTTGACGCCTGCTGTATATTTGGATTTTGCGTGTTTCTCCGTGTGGTTGCTTGGATTTTTCCCCGGGTCCTCTGGTTTTCCCTCCACATTTAGAATCGACATACGTTGAGAGTATTTGGCTGCTATAAATTTCCACGTAATAAGCCACTTCTTTAAACTATCATTTGTGGCCAGGTTGCTTCTTTAAAAGCTATATAGCTCAGTGGGCCTTACCTGATCAAATAAAAAGTTTTGTTAAAAATAGTTTGGTTTCACGCACTCGCTCGCTCCCACTCGATCTCACTCATCTACAAGCGCACATGAGCCAAACAGACTTATGCCGCAGCACATTATTAAGCGAATTTCCCACTATTGTGCATCGGCGCCACATTACAGTGGCAGGACTGAGAGAGCTGAGGCGTTCATGCTTTCAACCCAAGCTTTCCGTCTGCAACGGGCGCAATGAGGTACACTGTCATTGCCATCTCTCTCACGGTCCTGTGATGGAACAGTCCACCGGACACCTGCAAAATGAGCCGACTTCATCTGAGGGAGGTCCTCTCGGAGCGCAATTCCCTCCTTCGGCCACCACTCCGTTGTTATTCTCGCCCATCGTTACTCCGAGCGACATGTCCTGCCTCAAGTAAAATTGTGTACAGGCACAAATAATAATAACACAGCCTTCTAACAGAAAGGTAGACATCGGGCTGACGTTTTGGGCATCAGCCCTTGCTTGGGGAAACATGGACAGCAGAGAGATTGACTGCCTTTATAGTCGGAGATTGTACGTTGGGGCCCTGAGGAAACTGGCAACCGTTAAATAAAGTTAACATTTTGACAGTTTTGAATTTACATATGAGCAGTTTTATTTCAGTAGACCTCAAGTATCGAATGGACCGTGAGAAGGTAAAAAATATATCCATTCAATTAAAAAGTTAAATGATTTGTATTGTAATGTATAACCGCATCTTGATAAAAACAAAACACAGTTACTGCCACTGACCTCATTCTTATTTACAATGAGTTCATACCTAACCCAAAGATATTTAGCATATGAACTGGTATTGCTGAAACAAGCCTCCTTTATTTCAGCCTTGACTTGATGAACGTCCTTTATTGTTCAAAAGCAAAGTGTGTATGCCTGTCATGTTTTCCGAGACCCCGACACGAGCAACTAACCCTTTTGAGTTTTATTTCAGAAGCCGGTCAGGGCAACCCACATTCTCAGGGCACTTGTTTCTTGCTCATTCTTCATCTGATATTCCCTTTGACACAGCATTGACCCCCCACCACCTGCCCCCTAACGGCATGTTGCATTTGCAACGATCTGAAAATATTAATTAAAAGTGCGGTCGTTCTTGCTGTGAGCTAATATGCTGATCTCATCGTTAAAGAAAAATGAGTAATTAAGCTAACCGAGCGCGGGTGTCTTGCTGACCCTTATTGTTATGCTAAGCAAATGCAGTGATGGCATTTTCATTGCTAACGTGGCAAAATTTACATTAAGTGAAGTCAATGCTGTGAGTGCTCTCGGTGCTAATTAGCTTAGCCCCCCCATCGTTATGCTGTTCAGTATTTTTTAAATTATCTTCCATTGGATTAATCAATGTGAAACTTTCACTGTGACAATAGCTTGCCACTAGAGCTTTGCAAGAGGACAAAGCTTGCAGGTCACCTCTACCGTCAACCCACTGCAATGCAAACTCTTGGTGGATGATGCATGGGTCGAATTGGGTGTCAAAGTGGTCATTAAGCTTACTGCTAAGCTCAAGTCTACACCAAAGGTGATGGTCATATTACCGCTGCTGCTGCTCAGATGCCAGGTGTTATCATGGGCAAAAAACTCTACAAATATACACTAATCCACAACTAAGTTGGTGATGACATGGGGGAGGCCTTCATCCAGCTGATGATGATGATGAAGTTGTGGAACATGTTTGAGCAATATTGACATAACACAGCTTTACATTTGTAGACCTTTCCCTCTTTAAATACCTTTATGGGTAATGTATAAGCAGTGCTTATATTGTGAGATTGGGCCCCTAGGTCGACTCAGCCTCAAATGAGTACCTGGTGCGGTGTTTAAAAACATCGCCACCAAGGAGACAAAGGCGGTCGGGCGTCGTGCTGGCCACCCACCGCCCCGTGTGCCGTGCCAGCCAGCCTTCATCGGTGCCCACTAACAGCACTTGCCCCCGACAATCCGTTAAGGCTGTAATGAGAGTATTTGTGTGTGTGTGTGTCCTGTGTGTAGGCTGCGAGGTGCTGACTCAGCACACGCGCTCCAGCTCGCAGAGCCTCATTTACAAGTGCGACGCCGTGCTGTGCACTCTGCCGCTCGGGGTGTTGAAGCAGCAGCCCCCAGCCGTGCAGTTCTTCCCCCCTCTGCCCGAGTGGAAAACCACCGCCATTCAACGCATGGGTTTCGGCAACCTCAACAAGGCACGCCGCGCTCTCTAGGCCGTTCGTGTTCGCGTTGTTTGTGTCGTTGTTAGTTGTCGTTTTGATATCCATTTTTTTGGCAGGCCGGCTGCGTGGATAGTGCACACGGTGGGTCTTGTCAAGCTCGGTAGGATTTTAAACCGGGGTAAAGCTTGGATGGGCAACCATCATGCATCAAACAGTTGTTGTGGGCTGCTGTGCCTGGGGCACTGTGGTGGCGAGATGTTAACTACTTTGCCTGGTATGCAGGAGTCGTGAGTTCGATTCCAACCCTGATGCTTGTATATTTGGAGTGTGCGTGTTCTCCCTGTGGTCACGTGGATTTTTCTCCGGTTCCTCCGTTTTTTTACTCCACATTTTAAAACATGCATTTACAGTATTTGGCTGCTATACATTTGCACATGATAAGGCACTTGGTTAAGCTATACATTTTTTGGGCCAGGTTGCTTCTGTAAAAGAGCTATGTAGCTCAGTGGGCCTTACTTGGTAAAATAAAAATAAAATTTTTAGTATTTTGCCTTGGGACAGTGCAGCATAAGCCATAGTTGAACTATCTATGCTCTCTACGTTCACCAACCCACACTAAGCAGTGTGTGACGACTTAGTGCATGTAAAGACATACGTAGGTAGCAGTTTCACTATTCGCACTTGGCTGCCAACTTGCTTGGAATAAACCTGGGGCCCCCCACCCCATGCCTCCGGATGTTGCCCGCAGGTGGTGCTGTGTTTTGACCGCGTGTTCTGGGACCTGAACGTCAACTTGTTTGGCCACGTGGGAAGCACGACAGCCAGCCGGGGAGAGCTGTTCCTCTTCTGGAACCTTTACAAAGGTATTGTGCCTGCCAGGGGGAGGAGTGGGAGGAGGCCACTGGGTTATGTACACTGAGCACATGTGCCGTATTAGTAAGTGCCTCCGGAGAATGGAGGTGCTCGCCGCTGCCTAAGGAACACAGTTGTTACGTAACCAACATTGAACCCAGACACACGCGCTGGCTGCCAATGTTATTTGCCAACGTTGGTATTTGTGCGCATTACTGTGAAATGTGTCCGCTAACCGCACGCCCGAGTGTAACAAGTCAGTGTTTTGAGCGAGCACAATGCATGCCACTGTAAATAGGCATTGGACAAATCTATGGTGGCCTCTAGCCGCCCCCCCCCTCGTTCCGACAGATGTTGAGCAGTTTTTTTTTCCCCGAATTGCTCTTCGATTGCCGCAATCGACGTACATTGCAAATACTTTGAAGATAATCATTCGTAAAATCATGAAGTGACTAATTACTTGGGTATAGACTTCACCAATGAGGACATTAATTTAGAGAGACTTTATCTGATCAACTATGTTGGTAAGGGAGAGAAATGCTCACAAAATGCTATGGTGGCGTTGGATGTACTTGGCCAGATATTTTTTGTGTTATCCACGCTGGGATGGTGATGGTGCATTCGGTTTTGTGTACACGTGTCAAAGAATTGAGCACCTTCCATGAATCAATGGCACGCTGATTTATCATCAGTTCCATATGCCCTGATGGAATTGATGATAAATCAATGCGGCGGTGCGTGCCTAGCACTCTGCAATCAGTAACGACAAGACCACGACCCGTCTTTTGCTCTAATGCACCCCCGCCCCCCCCTCGCCCCCCCGCAGCGCCCATCCTGCTGGCGCTGGTGGCCGGGGAAGCCGCTGGCATCATGGAGAACGTGAGCGACGATGTCATCGTGGCTCGGGCGATGGCTGTGCTCAAAGGAATCTTCGGCAGCAGCGCCGTACCGCAGGTACACGCCCCGTCCGGGAGTCCAACCCAGCCCTCGCCAACGATGGGGAGAGGGAAGGTATCGCAACGAACCCTCGTACCCAGCCTTTATTAAATATTGGGGCTCATTTAGAAGTGGGGTCCCTTCCCCACCCCCTGGTATATCTGTCTCCAGAATGTGTAATTGTAAGTTGGTGACAGCAGGGAGCATAAATATGTGAACGTAGCATTACAGTCTAAAGATGACTTACATTTTACTGCTGCCCTCTGCTATCCACCAGACTGCCCCGCAGTCCACATCCTGTCACACCCGTCATGCACGGTGCCCATCTTCCGAGATCTGATGAAACCCGGGCGCATTCTGGATAATTTGGTGTGAGGCTCCCTCCCAAGGATGCCCCTCCTAAAAAAAAAGTCTTTCACCCTGACGACTCTCCGCAGCGATGTGTCGATCTCGGCTAGACGGCGTGCGTGCGTGTGACCCTGCATCCGCTTACCGTGCCGTCGATTTACGTTGGACGCCGCAGCCGAAGGAGACTGTGGTGACGCGGTGGCGTGCGGACCCGTGGGCGCGCGGCTCCTACTCCTACGTGGCTGCCGGGTCCAACGGAAATGACTACGACCTCATGGCGCAACCCATCGCCCCGCCACCCTCCCTGCCCGGCAGTCCGCAGGTGAGCGTCTCTCAAGGGGGCTGTGGGTGGGTCTGGCGGTGTCGATCGGATGTTTTGTCGCGGCCCGTTTAACCGTGCCGGGGTGACGTGTTGGTTCGTCGAGACGATGTTTTACTTTGTGGGGGTTTGATGGTCAGGGGAGATCAGGGGCGGCTGTGGGGCCTGCATGGGCTGATAGTTGTTTTCTGGACATAGATCTTAAAGAAATTGAGCACACAAACCGGATGTTTTTGCATGGTCTGCTTATTGATGGAAGGGTGTGCTTCTATCAGTTAACAGCTTTCAATCTTGCTTGAATTAAGTAAATAAATGCATAATGGTGCATAGTTTTGAAATTTTACCACAAAGGCTCAGTGTTACCATGTCTGTCAATTAGCATAATTAAAGAATGTACTTTAGATAATAAGCATGTTAGGGAAATTAGTTTTGCACAATGGAAAAATTATCAGGCAAAACACACAGCTTTCTTAGGGTGGCATAGAATTCAAACTCTTGTTAATTTATTCTGTTGCCTTCTTCTTTCCCCCCATTCATTGAAATACATATTTTCATAGCCAGTTGCAGGGAACACTTAAGTAGGTTCCCTCCACTACTGTTACAATGTCCAATCAACGGGCAAGATAAGTTACACCTACATTGTTTATGCAACCGGCCACTGGTTTATTACCGGGTGGATATGCATGTTGCTGATGTCCGGATACTGATGTTCATCATTAATCAATGGACTTCACCTTCCCCTCTCGACCTTTTGTTGTGCAGCCGATACACCGGCTCTTCTTCGCTGGGGAGCACACAATCAGGAACTACCCGGCCACGGTGCACGGAGCACTGCTCAGCGGCCTGCGGGAGGCCGGTCGCATCGCCGACCAGTTCCTGGGCGCCCCTTACACCCCTCCGCGCACGCCAACCACGCAGTGACGCCCCCGCCAGCGCGCACCACCACGTACCACCCACGTGTTACTTGGCCCTTGCTTGCTCGGGAAAACCGGGTCCCTCTCGGCGCGACACCGCTGGCGGATTGGAGAACATGCTGGCACGTGCCACGGATGGCAAGGGTTGAGACTCAGGGTTGAGGCTTAGGTTAGACGAGGAGGGCAACGGGGGGAGGGGGAAGAGCTGTGTTGCCTCGTGGCTTTCACTGTGCACGCTACGAAGGGAAAATAGATGATGGAATTGTTGCGTTTTTGCTGTTGGGATGGTGTGGTGTTAATGCTGCTTGTACTGCCTGCATTGTGACCCCACTCGCCCCTGCCACTTATGAGAACATGTGCGAATGTAAATTGACCCCACCCCAAATGCCCCCGAAAAATAATGTTCTTGCCATTGCATTGTAACGTGTGGAATGCACAATTAAAATTAGATGAATAACAAAAGTGAATTATTAACGTATATACAGTAAACACCTTGGATTGCGAGTAACTTGGTCTGCGAGTGTTTTGCAAGACGAGCAAAATGTTTAAATAAATATTAATTTGATAAACGAGCGAGGGTCTTGCAATACGAGTAGTACGTATACGCTTTGTCTGCCGAGTGTCACATGATCACAACTGATATGCGAGTGCTTTGGATTACAAACACGTTTCTGGAACAAATTATGCTCGCAATCCAAGGTTTTACTGTATTAGGTTTAACTCTTTGGTTCTTTCGGTAAAGTCACGTAGAAATTGAAAATAATAATTAAATAATGGCATACGACGTTTCGATTGCAACACAAGCAACCATCATCAGGTACAAATGAAAGAGAAAACAAACCGAGTAAACTTAGAAATATAATGCGATACAACACAGAGAGTCGGCTAACATAACAGTCAACACCCTACCTGGTCGATTTCGTTCTTCCAAAGATTGCTAAATTTGAGAGAGAGACAAAACACAGACACGGAGACACAGACACAAGCAGAGAGAGAACACAGAGGCACACAGAGAGAGATAACACAGAGACACAGAGAGACACACACATAGGCACACAGAGGAACAACGCCTCTGTGTCGAGGCCTTAAATAGAGAGAGGGGGGCAGAGGGGGAGGGGGGTGGAGAAATTAGCATGTCAATGAGAGATTTGGAGCTTTCGTGTCTGCAGGAAATACTAGAGCTACAACACGACGCACAGAGAGAGAGAAAACAAAATCAAACAAACTTAGTAAAATTTAGAAATTTAATGCAATGCAACACAGAGTCGGTCAACACACAATGCATAGCCTGGTTGATTACGTTCTTCTAATAATTGCTCAATTAGAAGTTAAATGTAAAATTTGAGAGAGACAAGACAGACACGGAGACACAAAGACAGACACAAGCAGAGATAGCTAACACAGAGACAAAGAGAGAGAAAACAAACTTAAATCCTCCCCGTAGAGGTGGTTCAAACTTGATTTAGAGCTTTTGTGACTGCAGGAATTACTCTTTGGTTCTTTTGATAAAGTCACGTAGAAAGAAAAATAAATTAAATATTCATTGCAATCGATTCGTCGTATGCTATTTAATTTATTTTTATTTCTACGTGACTTACCGAAATAACCAAAGAATAATTCCTGCTGTCACGAAAGCTCTGAATCAAGTTTACATTAGGTTTCTTTGCCAAGTCAAATAAAATACACCTCATTTTTAAATGTCGGTCAAGCAAACACTTTTGGTGAACCTGCAAGGTCAAAGCAAAATATAATTTCACGTTTCATAGGATTGTGCATCCATGGTATATGCTGTGCTGAGCAAGGCTATTTTTGACCTTTAACTTGTATGTGTTTCTGTCTTGTCCAGGAAGAGCAATGTGTTTTTTTTACCTTTTGTATGTCAAAACTTTTGAGACGGTAGAAAGCGTTGGCCAGATGCAGTGGCGTCCGGCCGTCTTTGGCCACGATCTTTGGAGACTTTTGTGGAGGTGCAGTGAATTACCATCCCAAGTAACATTATCGTAAGGTTCAACACACGGACGGACGGACCTCAAAACCCATGATTTGGTCCATTGCTGTCTTTACTGCGCAGGAGAACCACGACATGTAAACATTACATATGCCTTATCGTATAACATTTACATACAGACGGTCACGTATGAATGTAACGCCGCAGATTTGGGTCAATGATTTCCCGCTTTGAGAGCAAGGTAAAGAAACAGGTGCTTGAAACGACACCCCAAGTCGGTGGGGAAGCAGTAAAAGTTTCAATGAGTTTAGCAAACCATTGGCTGCTTCTATACACAGAGGCAAAGATACCGAGCAAACGCCACATGTTCAAGACAATTAAATTAACATTTACTGTTGTACGAAATTCTGACTGGACGTAAATAATTGCATTACTTGAGACCCTTGCTCTTGATCGCAAAATAATTCTGATAAACCGCTCCAAGATAAAAGCCCATACATTTTTTTAAGTTTCACCTTTTCATCAGTTAACTGGCAAAACCCATGTATTTACAATAAAAACAGTCCTCGTTTGGCTTAGTGAATAAGAAAACGCCTTTTGTTTAGTGAATTATAATTGGCCTTTACCACACGACCCATGATTTTATTTTCGTCGCGATTAAATAAGGGCAAAGTTTGATAAATTATTATGTGTTGCCTCGGATGTGCAAAGCTGTTTGTTTTACAAAACTGGAATCGATGGCCCGACACCCCGTCTCAGTTGCAGCTGCGTCTAGTACATGCGTCTGGTACACTTTCATTTAAATATTGATAACATTGTCTGGGGTTTTCTTGCCGTGATACAAAACATCACACTAGGCTTTGCACCATCGACCATTATTCTTTAACCAGTACACCCCTTAAAGCATTCAATGTATATATTTTTTTGGTATTGAGAGCTGACTTTTTTCATTCATTTGCAATTATTGGAGCTGGAATTTTCTGTTTTAAGTTAGAACAACCATTTTTGGCACCGACTTGTGGCAGAATTGTTGTATATATTTTATAAAATGTTAAAAGAATAAAAAAATGAAATGCAAAGTTTGTGAAGTGGTTTATATCTGGGAAACTTATCGTTTAATCATGCCAGATTTATTTCTGCCAAACAACAGTCATTTGGCATCTACTGTGTCTTGGGGGGGGGGGGGCTATATATACACAATCTGTTCCATATTACTGTGCACCATAGCTCTGGTTCCTCGCATTTCAATGTACCGAATCCTTGTTTTGGAACTTGTTTTCCATCTTTCTCTCCAGTCCGAGGACAAACACGGTAGGTACACAAAGTAAACTGGAACCGTTTGGCTTTGTGGCCATGACAAATATACAACATCGTGGTCTGTACGTTGGTAGAGAAGACTGAGCGGCTCATTTCTATCGTTAAACATTCTAAGCAAAACGAAGTGTCTGAACATGCCACCACCCATTGCACATTTTTACATTAGAAATCTTTACTGCATGACGAACTTCGCCGTTTAGTGAGATGAGACCACATGGGTCTGGTATTACATGTGTCGTGAGTGCGTGGCCACTGCATAACATCGGGGCCCTTTCCCGTGACCTTCCAGCGAGCCTTTTGACAGTTCGCGTGGCGTCAAAGGGCACCCAATCTTATCACAAGCGACACGGTGAGGGCAATGCCACTTGGTGGCCAATGGTTGTTGCCGTCCGCCGTAGGTGTTTATATGAACAGCGCTCGCCCCACCAGCCCGAAATTACTTTATCTTTTCATGGAAACGGCAAGGTGAAGAAGGGTGGTGTGGACAATGCACCCAGGAGGCCAGTTGGAGAGGCTCGCTCGAAAGAACACAAAAGAACAACATCTCGAGAGAGCGGTGCACTTGGCTCCGATGGTGGGTCCACACACGTTAAACAATATCGTGGCATTGCTCTCTGCGTTCAATGACTCCCAAGTGTACGTGGGAATGTACTGTTTTGCCGGAGCGACTGCCTGGCGTTAACTTCGAATTTTATTTCAAGTCATTAAGTCAAAGAATGTGATGGAACTGTCGGGCGAGCCATGTCCTGTGGATTTAATTGCGCAATTCCCTTCGTCAGGTTTACTAAATCAGTCAAAAAATGTCATCCACTGATCGTAAAATTTTGCTCCTTCCCCATTTAATATTTGCTCAGCCAATCAGTAGTGACACCTTATGTTCAAATATAGCCAATTGCCATTTTTGGTAGTCCTCTGTCCCAAAAAACGTTGCTCAATTATCTTTGGTGCCCGGTGGATAGTCGTCATCATCACGCTTCGACTCATAAGTCAGCGTCGACTAAAAGTAAAAAATAACAAATACTGAATTTACAAACATTTCCATCGCTAATTTCGTCAACTGTAATGCCGCTCTCCTTTGCCTTGGCGCATTCGGTTCATGCCGCAATCGTGCGTTGGTGGGTGTGGCAGGCCGGGAGAATTGCCGTGTTGAGCGACAACAACAATAAAAGGCTCGATAGCAAAAGCCAAATGCCCTTTCAACAGCCAAGCATGCCCATAGCTGTCAACCCCTTATCAGTGCTCTACCTTATTACAGACCAATTCAGACCTTATTGGGTCACCCCGTGCCCTTATAAATCTCAAAGTTCATCCTACAAAGTCCCATCACAAGGGAGAAACACAAATATATAGATACAAAAAAATTTGCCCGTATTAAAACGGCTGTACGCCGTATGGACCTGAAAACCCAATTTCCCTGTACAAGAACACGGCTACACCGTATGGGTTGACAGCTGTGCATGCCCACCCCAACCGGCTCGTGGCTGGTCTCAATATCTGCAGGCCCGACTGAGTGTGAGCAGTGTAATTACATTGATTTTGTGCGCGTGTGTTGGTGCTCGCTAACAGCACTTGCCCCAACAGTCTATTCAGGCTCCACGGGGGATCTTTGTTTAGATTAAGTGTTGCCCTTCCCCCCGCACCTCCCATTAGCACGCTTTGCTACGGCATGGTTGCGAAATAAGTCCAACGTACATGCATGCAGAATCGGTATTTTCCCCCGAGCGGGTTGTTTAAATATCCTGCACATTCTGTCTTTAACGACGGTGCCATTTGAAACTTATGGCGGGACCCCGGGGTCCCGAATAAACGGAAGTCAAAATCGTAATTAATTAGAGTATTTTTGGCGACTCCGTCCAACCGCGCACACAAACGCCCGCGACCCGCCTGGCGCGGATCCGTTCTGTTGTCGTGTCGTGTCCAAGCGCAGCAGCGAGGACGAATGCGCAGAAGAAAGAAAACTTTCATTACCGTGTAGAGCTCGTCGAGAGGAATAGATCGCCGTGTCGTCCGCCTTCAACAGACATAAGATGACGTCGCAACGCAGTTTATGCGAGAGCCGGGGGCGTACGTCACCCCGGTGTCCCGCCCATACGGTTCAGCTGACACGGGACACGAATCCGACTTTGGGCTCTTGGGCCCTTTGAGTGTGGGCTAAGCAGCATTGGGTCGTTGCTTTGCGGCCACAGTCGCTTCTTTGCCATTGCTTCTCCCCTTGGTCCCCCATGACCAAACCTGTCCCACACCACATTCTTATTCCCTTGGTTCTGCTATCGCAATTTTTATGGCAAGCGAAGTTTGACTTAGGAGGGGTGTGTGGGGGGGGAAATTATACTCCTGGAAACGTAGCAAGAAAACGAAGATTACACAGTACCTGTTATAAGTAGTTTCATTAAAATTATCGTATATATATTTATTTCATAGCCAATTTTCATTTAAAGCTTTTATAAAAAGCATTCATAATATGCAGTCAACGAATGTCTCTTGCAAGGTTTGCATTTCCCAAAATATGTAAATTGTGCTTTATAAGTAAATATCATCCGTGTAATAATTATAATAATCCGTGATACTTGTACGTTCTTACATCCATCAGAAGAGCAAATTGAGTAGCCGCCATTCTACACGGAAACTCTTCTTCACCATCCCCACACACACTCACCACTCACTCACCACTCACTCACACACTCACCCCACTCACTACTCACTCACCAACCCCACTCACACTCACCACTCACACACTCACCCCACTCACCACTCACACACTCACAAACCCCACTCACTCACACTCACCGCTCACACACTCACCCCACTCACACTCACAAACTCACTCATCAACCTCACTCACCACTCACCCCACTCACTAACACTCACCACTCACGCACTCACTCACACTCACCCCAGTCACCACTCACACACACCCCTCTCACTCACCAACCCCACTCACAAACTTACCCCTCTTACTCACCAACCACACTCACCCCTCTTTCACTCACCAACTCCACACACACCCACCAACCCCACTCACACACTCGCCCCATCGCACATCAACACCAGACTGACAGCATTTACACACATTGCACTTCCACACCACACAGAGTTACATTGCAAAGTACAGGTACAGCCCTTTCTCAATCCACCTCCGAATGATGGCCTCCCCATGCCATGTGGGCTGTAGGGTGGGTGAGGAGGGGGGTTAATTGACCATACTTCACCACACTGGTGAAGTACGGGTTGAGCATAAAATCACGGCGCAGCGATGGCTTTTTGCTGCACTACCCTCTGCTGCCCACCACATATCCCTGAAGCCTATAACAACCAGCCTTGTGCTCAGTGGTCACCCGTCCAAGCACTGTCCAGGGCTCAAACCAGCTTAGCTTCTGACATCGGGCACTTTCCGGGCGATTTGGTCGACGGCGCAAATTGCATCGCCGTCACAATTTATAATTTGAGCCACACCGGCGCACAACTGACTTTGCCGGCAAATTATGCCGTGACGTACTCTTTTTTTTTTCCCCCAACAGACAATGACGCACTTTGGTAATTCTTTCCATCCCGCCAAAGAACCGGGGTGGCTTCTGTGCTGGCTTTGATGTGTGGGCATGGCGAGCTGGGCTGTGGGGCTAGGCGGGTGCAGGGCCCACCGTTTTACTCGCCGCTGGAGTTTGTTAATTACAACGTTAAAATATTCACAACGGGAGCACATTCCACTTGGGCCTCATCGCTAGGGGATTGGTCGCCCCGGATAAACGGAACTGAAGTCCGAGCGACACGCCTTCAAAGAAATAACATGCGTGGACAAGGATGGGAGATAATAACTACCTCGCCTAGTATGCAGGAGGTTGTGGGTTCGATACCGACCATGACGTCTATATATGTGGAGTTTGCAGGTCTCTCTCCCTGTGGTCGTGTGGATTTTCACTTCGGGTCCTCCGGTTCCCCCCCCCCCCCCCTCCCCGTATTTAGAATCACGCGTTTAGAGTATGTGGCTGCTATAAATGTTAATGTGATAAGTCACTTCCGTTGAGCTATCATTTGTGGCCTGGTGGCATCTGAAAAAGAGCTGTATAGCTCAGTGGGCCTTACCTGGTAAAATATGAAATAGTTTTGTTTTATTTTAGTCTATTAGGATGGTGAATTAATATGTACTATGGTGTAAGCGTGAGTATTGAATCCCTTTAAACATTGTTTTTCTTAATGAACACCAAATGCACCACTTAATCTGCTCAATTCAGGATGTAAGATCAACGGATTACTTTTTTCAGAGATGAGACGCCCGCCATAATCGACAGACGTCATGACCACGGCACGTCGGCTAAGAACCTCTGATGAGTTAAAATTAAAAATACCACTCATAGAGTGTCGTAAAACTTATCGAAACTAACATCGGCAAATAATCACTTTCATAACTGTATAGGCTTTTGTTTTTCATCTCAGGCTTCTTAAATATGTTCGCATCTTGATTTAAAGCTTTAGTGACTGCAGGGATTCATATTCTTGGTTCTTTCGGTAAAGTCACGTAGAAGGGAAACAATAAAATAATAAAAATATAAAACAAGAAAATTATCACGACGTTTCGACTGCAACACAAGCAATCATCATCAGGTGTGAAAACCACAACAAGAAAATTTGAAAAAAGTAGCGGTTATTTTTAACGTTAGCACCACGGAGAGCGATTTGACAGTTTGTTCAGATGGACGAGTCCATCTATGTTCGGAAAAGAGGAGGGGGGAGACGAAAATAATGGATGCTGTCTGAAAGCCACCGTAAGCGTGAACAATCAATTAAGACCCGATATGGTTTATCAAATCATTCCAATGATTGCTAAGCCAGAATCCATCTTCTTGGTTGAAATTGTCTGTGTTTGTATATGTGGATAGCCTCATGAACGAATCTCTCATGGTAGCCAGATGGCTTGCAAAGAACCTCTGTCTTGGAGAAGTCAATGTCATGTGAGCCTACTGAATTATAACAGTGATCTGCCACGGCCGAGGTGTTGGTCCGACCGTGTTTAAGGTCTGCTTTGTGTTCACGAATGCGGTCCGAGACATGTCGTTTGGTTTCTCCAATGTAACTACTACCACAGAGGCAACTTAGTTTGTAGACGCCAGGGTACTGTATGTCCGGAATCACATCTTTTACAGATGGAACCAGATCACGGATTTTATGTAATGTGTTGAATCAGACCTGGATCTTGTGTTTACGTGCTTGTGTTCACATAGCCAGTGAACTCAAGCACGTACACCAAGCTCTTAAGGCTAATGGTTACTCCGACTACACAATCCGCAAAGCTATCACTCCAACCATGAAGAAGGACCCTCTTGAGGAGCCTTTCAAAACCATCACTTTAACTCTACATTGCGGGGATCACAAAAAATATCTCCAAAATCTTGAATAAACACAAGATCCAGGTCCGATTCAACACATTACATAAAATCCGTGATCTGGTTATGTCTGTAAAAGATGTGATTCCGGACATACAGTACCCTGGCGTCTACAAACTAAGTTGCCTCTGTAGTAGTAGTTACATTGGAGAAACCAAACGACATGTCTCGGACCGCATTCGTGAACACAAAGCAGACCTAAAACACGGTAGGACCAACACCCCGGCCGTGGCAGATCACTGTTATGATTCAGTAGGCTCACATGACATTGACTTCTCCAAGACAGAGGTTCTTTGCAAGCCATCTGGCTACCATGAGAGATTCGTTCATGAGGCTATCCACATATACAAACACAGAGACAATTTCAACCGAGAAGATGGATTCTGGCTTAGCAATCATTGGAAGGATTTGATAAACCATTTCGGGTCTTAATTGATTGTTCACGCTTACGGTGGCTTTCAGACCGCAACCATTATTTTTCGTCTCCCCCCTCCTCTTTTCCGAACATAGATGGACTCGTCCATCTGAACAAACTATCAAATCGCTCTCCGTGGTGCTAACGTTAAAAATAACGGCCACTTTTTTCAAATTTTCTTGTTGTGGTTTCACACCTGATGATGACTGCTTGTGTTGCAGTCGAAACGTCGTGATAATTTTATTGTTTTATATTTTTATAATTTTATTGTTTCCCTTCTACGTGACTTTACCGAAAGAACCAAGAATATGTTCGCATCATCACACAAAGCGAAAGCCACCCACGATTGAAATAGCTCGCAAATACCTCTCGCTCGTCATTCCAGTATATGTACACCAAATTAACCCATCTATTCTGTGCAGAACATAAAACAAAACGCAAATGTGTCCCGGCGGAATGGACTCGGCGGTCAGCGCCGGTAGTTCTCCCGCAGCCACTGCGAGACGTCCACGTCCACGTTGGTGTCGCCCTCCTCCCCCCCCTCCTCGTTTAACGTGCGCAGGACCAGAGCCCGCTGCGCCACGGGCGGCGTTCGGCTGCCCGTGCCCTCCCCTACGCCGCCGCTTTCCCTCGCCGAGTCCTGGCCCTCGTGGGCAGGGGCCTCGGGCGCCGCTGCCTTCTCCTTGGCCGCCACCTCGCCCGTCGCCGCCTCTCCTCCTCCTCCTCCCACCGCCGCCGCCGTCGCTGCCGCCGTCCCCCCTACGGCCACCGCGGCCGTCTCGTCGGCGAAGAGGCGCGTCGCCCCGGGAGGCAACGTGACGTCCTGCGGCCTGGGCCGCCGCGGCACCCTGAGGCCCAGCTTGCGCTTGAGCAGGTGGAACTGGTCGCGCACGAAGTAGTAGAAGTCGTACTCGTAGCCGAGCCTCTGGTACAGCACCTGGAGGGCGCGCCGCGACGGCAGCTGCTTCTTGAGGGAGCTCGTGCCGTTGCCCAGGCCGAAGTAGTCTGCGGACGGTGGTGGTGGGGGGGGGAACAAGAAACGCCAAACGGGCGGCATGGTTATAACAGCGGACCCGCGTGGGCATCGAGGGCACGCTCGCGCGAGGTGCTCTCGTCACTGCACCCGGTGTAAACAAATCGCCATCGGCCACGATCAGGTCTTCCCCCAAGCTGTCCCCCCACCTCTCTCGATCCTGCGATGCAATTATCCACCTTGCATCAACGTACGAGCCAATTTATACGTCTTCTCGGATAATTTACTTTATTTGGCTGCCATCGTTGCTGGTGACCAGTGGCCAAGCCCACCTTCCTTAACAGTTTGAATTCCAGTAAAACCTTGAATTGCGAGCATAGTTCGTTCCGGAAACGTGTTTGTAATCCAAAGCACTCGTGTAGCAGTTGTGATCACGTGACGCTCGGCAGTACAAAGCGTGTACACGTACACTACTCGTATTGCAAGACCCTCGCTCGTTTATCAATTAATATTTATTAAAAAATGTTGCTCGTCTCACAAAACACTCACAGACCAAGTTACTCGCAATCCATGGTTGTACTGTATGTCTAATGAACCTCTATGGGTTCTCTAAATCCACATGTTTCCTTTTCTGTCTCCTAGTGTTTTCTTTCTTTTCCCAAGCATGCATCTCTCCATTGCTTTTTTTGCAGACATTTCCGTTCAGGTTTGTTCCATGCTTTTTTTTGTGAATGATCGCGTTGTTTACGAGCCGCGAGTCGGCAACTTGTACAACTTTAGACCAAGGGAAACGAAATTTTTTTCACTGATTTGAGCACTTGGAACACTTAATCGTGCACAAGCTGAAAATACTTTGCCTCCGCCATCATTAACAATTTGCCACGGTTATGAAACATCGCACGATTAATGATGGCGGAGATGAATCGAGGCATGTCCTGGAAACGCCTGATAACCTACAAAACCTCGTTGTCCCTGAAAGCAGGCCACGACTGAGTATGCAGATTAAGTTTAGGAAGAAGATAAAGTGAACGATTAAGTTCGCTGTGTGGGCATCTATGTGAAAAGGATACCACAACAGCTATCAGAAGTGGATTGTAATGTGGTCAAATTAATCGAGCATGGGTTATCTTAAAATAGTAATTGCATACGTGAGTTTTCCACCTTTTCCGTGTATCAATTATTTTCAGCAAGTTGTCTACGTTGCTCTTCCCTCTAATCCAGACCCAGTCTATCGAAAGATCTGGAATAATAAAAAAACAAACAAACAGGATGGCAATTTCGAGAGAGGCACAACATTACGTCTAAACGCAAGTGTACGTGCCCAACCGTTAGTAATTAGTACGCGAACGTGGGACGATGCTGCGGTGCGCAAATGGTCAGCAGGCCGGACCTGCAATCTCAGGATCAGAATCTTTATCCATGCCAGAGAAATCTTATGAGCTATAACGCTCTTTTTTTCACGGATATCCAATAGGCGCCGGGTCAAAAAGTTACCATGACATGACAACAATGTCAGAGGTCCTCGGTTCGAACTCCTGTCACGGCAGTTTAAGCAATGGTGCAAGTTTCTTAAATGCCCCCCGCCCCACCACCGTCCCACTCTGCCTCTGTCCACTTCGCAGTATAAAAGGGTACCACCGGCTGGTTGCTCGGCACATAACGTACGTATGCATGTTGAACTTCTTTCGCACAGTACACAGACAACCGTGCTAATCGGAGGTGTGGGGGTGGGGGGGACAACGACCTATTCACATCACAAGTGTTGGGGTGAATTGTGGATAACGCTCGCCTCTTAAAAGAAGGGCCGGCCAACGTGCAAGATGCCGACGTGCAAGAGCAGGCTCAGGCACCTCCGGTAGGGGTTTTTTGGCACTCCCTCTAGTGGAGGCCATGCCGCCATTGCAGGGCTGCATCTTTATATTTACATGGGCGTACATTCCTAGTGGGGACGCCTGACGGGCTCCGACTTTTATGAAGGAGGATATTTACAAACCATAAACAATGCGGCAAAAAATATGCCAATGTTGTGGCATGTTTGTGTTCCCTTTGATGATTGGAGAGTAAATATTTAGTCATTACCACGAGGTTTTTTTTCGTGCATATCGAAATACAGCTGTGGCACAACGTGCCGTTGACATTCTATCCAGGGGCAAGGTTCATGCCATTTCATCGATGCCAGGTGACGCATGCTAAAAGAATCAGAATATTTATCCTGGAGGAATCCGATGGGCTAGGAAACTTTTTTTTCACGAGACGTCCAGGAGGGCGGCAGGTCAGAAAGTTGCAACAACAAACAATACGGAAACTCGACAGGAGTGCAAATTCAGGTTTAGCAAATGACAAAAAATATATATATACATCCATGAGTCGGGAGAGGCTGGGAAACGCAATCAAACCAGTGATGCACTTTCTAGTCAGATTCGAGTGGCGACTACAAGAGACAGAAGTCAAAGTTTTCCCGTTGTCCTTGCCTGGAACCAATGTGGCCTCCCATGTGCCCGCCAGCTTAGTCGATCTCCGAAGCTAAGCAGGGGTTAAGCCTGGTCCGTGCTTGGATGGGAGAACGCCAGTGGGGTATGCCAGGTGCCGATGGCTCCGCCTGCGAGGTGGCCTGTACAGCGGTGGCTTTTTGAATCTCTCTGCTTGGAGATCTGAGGGTCACGCCCTGTTGTGCGCTCTGCAAAACCCGTTTCTCCTCCCACATGCCAAACACTAAACTAACACATTTTTTTTATTTTACCAGGTAAGGCCCACTGAGCTATATAGCTCATTTTCAGAAGCGGCCTGGCCACGAATTGTATTCCTTAATTAATGATATATTGTCCAGGTTCCTGGTAGACTGGCCACTTCATTGTGCTATCACATGTGGCCAGGTTGTGTCTGAAAGCGAGCTATATAGCCCAGTGGGCCTTATCTGGTAAAATAGAAAATTATAGTAGAGTTTAGTATACCCCTCGCCGGCACTTCTCACTGAATATTTTCCAGGTTGCTGGTAGACTGGCCACGGTTGATAGCCCCAAACGAAGCGACTTATCACGTGGACGTTTATAGCAGCCAAACATTCTTAAACACGTGTTTCTAAATGCGGAGGGGAAAAAACCAGAGGACAATTGTAAAATATCTGATTGCAGGAACCTCCTGAAAAAGGGTCTTGACAATCAGCGAGGCTTCCCTAGGTCAAGGGCATTATTATCATTACTATTGTTTATAAAAATCTGTCGAGCGTCTTTATTAATACTGCACCGGCGCTTGTCACCAATGTAACCTTTGACACCCTGACGGGTCCCCAGGTGCGCTTCACAGCGGATCTCGGCGAGGCTGTGTTGAAGCTGAGAGAATCCCGGGCGCATCACTCAGAGCCACACAATTGATTTTACGCTCCCCGGCACACCAAATCCAGTATATGTATATACTGGATATGGGTGCCACGCTGGCGGGATGTTAACTCCCTCGCCTGGTATGCAGGAAGTCGTGGGTTAAATCCCGACTCTGATACATGTATATTTGAGGTTGGCATGTTCTCCCTGTGGTTGTATGGATTTTTCTCCGGGTCCTCCAGTTTTTCCCTCCACAGTTAGAAGCAACGTATAAATTCCCAAATGATGATAAGCCACTTTGTTGAGCTATCATTTGTGGCCAGGTCGCTTCTGAAAGGGAGCTATAGAGTGCAGTGGGCCTTACCTGGAAAGATAAAATAAAAAGCTTATGAGTTAGTTTCGTATGCCTTTCACCGGCACAATTTCTCACTTGATATTTTCCAGGTTGCCGCTAGACTGGAACAGGCATGTGACAAGTGGATGGGTGGGATTTGTAACTCACCAAGTCTCACGTTAATTAAGTTAATGCCGAATTAATTGGCGATACTGCGTTGGCAGTGGTGCAGAAGCACAGACAACAGAAAAACCTCGTCAATAACACGAGCACATGAAGAAGAGCCATTGCCCAAAACGTTTCCTGCCATTCTAGATTTGAAGCTTTTGTGACTGCAGGAATCCATACTCTTTGGTTCTTTCGGTAAAGTCACGTAGGTATAAAATAAAATAAATCACGACGTTTCCATCGCAACACAAGCAATCATCATCAGGTGGGGAACCACAGCAATAATTTTTTTGCTTGTGATTTTTGATGATTGCTTGTGTTGCGATCGAAATGTCGCGATTTATTTTATTTTATACCTACTTGACTTTACCGAAAGAACCAAAAGGGTATGGTCTCCTGTCATATAGAGCACTTGTCCGTTTAGGAAAAGCGTTACCAACGGTGGTCTTGAAACTGCTTGCAACCGACTCTTTCTCACACTTTCCCATTGCCCCTTGTGACGGGGAGGGGAGGCGGTCCCCGTGTCCCCCGTAGCCACACACCTGGGTCGCTGTAAATCTTCAGGGCGTCGCTGAAGTAGTGGGGAAGGAGCCTCTCGAGCACGAGCAACGTGTCCTCCAGCTCCTCCAGGATGCCCACGAGCAAGTAGTACTGCACCACGTTGTCCTTGGCCCTCTTGAGCGCCCAGCTGCTGGGAACTCTGAAGCCCCGGTCCACACGCACGCACACAAAGACAAAGATTCCCCAACCCCAACCCCATGACTGATTAAGCTTTTAACGGAGCTGCTGGGGCATATTCTGTTCTCGCGAACAGCGCCTGTGAAGGCCGGTAATGGCACACGAGGCGGCGGGTGGCCAGCACCACATCAGGCTGCCTTTGTCTCCCCGGGTGACGATGTTTACACATCGCACCAGGTGCTCGTTTTGAGGCCGACTCGACCTAGGGAAGGCCCCAACACCGGTTCAGATAATCGTTGTGAGCGGGAGTCGAACTCGATTCATTTTCCAAAGGAGCTCCCATTACGTGGAGTGAAACGTCGGGAAATGGTGCCGAACAATGCGCGCCACAACCAGAAAACGCAGCGAAGAGTTACACAGCAGCACGGCCACGAAATCCTGATCATGCAAACTTGTTAGATCTGCACGTAATATTGATGAACTTGTTACATTTCAGACATCCTAGTTCATTGCAATATTCTTAAACAGCACACCAGCGTACGTTGTGATTTTTCCAGTGACGACACAAATACCTTTCCACCATCATGTCCCGAGCCTCTTTGAAAGTGCACGAAAGCAGAACGTGATAGGCATTCCAATAAACATCGAGAGACGTTTACCGCTTCTCAAACCACACCCATCGAATAAAAAAACAAACTAGACTTCACGGAACAACAGCTGGCGGGAGTCGACCCATGTTTGTAGACAAGAAACTTGCAAACAAAAATTGCGCAGCGATCGCAAAGATCGCGCGGAAATTCCGTACACGGGCACTTGGGGCAACCGGGGGTTCAAATAATTCTCCTCCGTCTTCCTCGTCCCGGAGAATTTCACACTCAGCCTTCCTGGTTCTCTCTTGCTCCACCGAAGAGTACAAGAGGTACGACACCAGAGTGTACGACCGTCACAGATCCACGCACGCGTTGGCGCCCGGGGCAACCGTCGCGTTCCACAGACGTTCACGTGTCCGCACAAGTTCACGTATCCGCACCAGTTCACGTATCTGCACCATCTCACGTATCCGGGCACGCGACGCTGCGCTGCGTTCCATGTGAACGGACAAGTTTTCGGCCGCTTTAGTGCATCGGGTTTTCTTTTTCTCTTCTCACCGTGGTTGTAAATCAGTAGGTGGCAGCCTCGCCACTGACGGCATCACTTCACGACCGCACGCGCCCGGCGCGCTGCAACGAGCCGACGGCTTCCTCCGTCACACTGAGAGTCGGCAGCGGATCGATGAGGAAACGCGCAGAGGGGGATTTGTGCCTCACCGAATATATTCCCCCGGGTCGCTGGTAGACTCGAGTGGGTGTGGCGGAATGTGACCATAATATCCACAACTATAGTGAGAGCTATATTTGGACAAGGAGGAGGAGCGGGATGCGGATATATTTTCCCCGGTGGTTGCTCAGGCCCACTGAGCTATGCAACAATTTTTCATAAGTGACCTGGCCACAAATGATACCTCAACGAAGCGGCTTATCATACAGACATTTATAGCGGCTAAATACTCTAAATGTTTGTTTCTAAATTGCGGGGGCAAAAACGGGAGGGTCCGGAGAAAAATCCACACGACCATGGGAAGAGGACATGCAAATTCCAAATATACAGGCGTCAGGGTTGGGATCGAACCCACGCCCTGCTGCATACCAGGCGAGGTTGTTAACATCTCCTAGCCACCGTCACGCCCTCAATACCCCCTGAGGGAGCACTCACCGGGGTTGTTGTAGCATTTTCACCGGCGCTGCCAGTTCCCACGTACTCGATGTACTTCTTATCGGGGAAGCTCTCATCTTGTAAGATACAAGGGATGTTCCCAAATTTTGGATTAATCTGAAAAAACCCAAAATTGGGACCATACGCTAAATTTCGTGCTTTTCGAGAAAGCGTATATTTTGTAAGCGCGAGCTACGTTCAATTATCGCGTCATGTAAATGATCAGAACATCCTTCGAAATTGTCTTTTGTTGCTGTCTCCGGACCTACAGCACAAAATGCACGCTTTCAACGTAAGAGCTATTTGGGGTTTTGGTTGCAAATTGTCTTAATCCCACTCTCTTCAATCACAATCTTTTGCAGCGGTTTCAGCCAAGGGCCAGGGTTTTGCCGAGTTCAGCAGTGTTTTCATTTCGGTAAATGGAAGCATTTTCGTTTTATTTATTTGCAACGCAGGCAGCGGTAAAGTGTGCCCGGTGATGGTGGCTTACCGGCACCGAGGATCCTGCCCACAGAAGTAGGGGACGATGTAGAACAGGCGAGGGTTGGTGCATTCTGGGTAATTCTTGAGGATGCAGTCGTTCACACTCTGGAAACAAAAATACAAACTGCGGTCATTTGAGCCCTCCCCAGAAACATACATCTCCCCCCCCCCCTCCCCGAGTGTTGCCCTAAATTTGCTATCGTTTGCACGTCACGAGTCAACGTATTAATTTCTGATATCGTGCCGAGCATCGCAATCCTTCATGCTAGAGAACATCCCACAGAAGTGGACATTACACAGAGCCACCTCAGGAAATATCTTCAAGTGACATCTGGCCCAAACAGTAGAGGGCACCCTTTTTCCCACCCACTGCCATGCGAGAGTAACGTTCTCAAAAGTGGAACTTCGCCAAATTGCAGTACTGCTATTTAGTGCGATGGATGTCTGTGTGGTCATTGATAAATGAGCTGAGATCGTCAACTCTTGAGCCTTGAGAGCAACCGGCTGAATCGCAGGCAGCTTGCCTAGAGTCGAACCGAGATTCAAAGTGGATGGCAGCTCTACAGGCTTCTGAGCCACTCAGTCAACCTCCTCAATTTAAGGATGTAAAACCCAAACAACGTGTACACCCGATTTGGCCTTCTCACTCCCAAAAAAGACAAACATTTTTCACGAGCGTACATCCAAAAGAAAAATCCCAGTCACGTTTCAAGATGCAAATTCAGCCGTTTCGGGAATAATGAGACAAAATGGTACTTTCGCCGTCATAACTGCGGCGAGAATGTTTGACGACTTCCCCGGTGTTATGCCATCACAAAGGTGCTTCAATTCACAACGTATCGGCTTCATTATTACCCCAAGGTCGAAGCTATATACAATGCAACAATGATATCCCCGCACACCTGGGTAGGGCTCTGAATAAGACGGCTTCCATTCATTGATTTAGCTAACGGACAGAGAGTCGCCTTTGAATCAGGAGGGCATCCTGCCATGGAACGGTTGCATTCATTAATTAACGGCGGCCATCTAATCCACATGATCTTCTCAGAGCTCATCGTCCGTCTTAAAAACATGAGCGACACTAGCAAGGTCACGGTGCAGTCCTGAAACCGCTTGCTCATCGCCTCTGCTGGCAGAATGACCTCCACTTAGAGAGAGATATAGAGGGCCCCTCTGTCGAAAGCATAAGTTCAACATGCACACACACACACACATTTGGCCGCCTTTTCCACAACGGACAGACGTCTTGGAATAAGCCAGAGCAGCCAGAATTTACCCCACCACACGTGACCTGCCCGATTTACACTGCCGAGTGGATCGGGGCGGTGACGTTACAAGAAAGCTCGCAGCACGCTGTGTCCACTGCCACGCCGGAAGAATGAACAGAACCGGTGACCTCTGGGTTGGACGCCCAGTGCGCACACCGTGACATCATGGCGGCAGCAGCATCTCTTAAAAGCTTTAAACACACAAATACATATTTTATTACTGCCTGTGACCAAAGCAGGGAAATCCATTTTTGTTGCTGTACTACGCTCCCACGTCTATGCTTCTCCTATTTTTACCCTCGACCAGCGTAGTGAAGTATGGTCAAGTAACCCCCACAAAACCGCAAGGTGTAGGGTGGCCCTCATCCATTTAACGTTACCAAATCACCCTGGAATGTTGCCCAATCTCAGAAGTTTTTGGAAACTAAGACTGATTGAGCGTGGTTAATAGAGTTCTGGTGCTGTCGGCGTGGGTCACAAGGATGGTCAGGGGATGGCGTTACAGCAATGGATCCTGGAATCTATCTGTGCGACGCCTTCAGTCTTTAGCCTCCCATCGTGTGCACACGTTTACTGTACATATGTACGTTGAACTTCTTTCACACCGAACGAAGCCGACCGTGCTAAATAGGGAGATGCGGTGGAAGGACAACGGGTTAAACACGAAACAACTGTTCTTTATATTCTTGGTTCTTTCGGTAAAGTCACGTAGGAGGGAAACAATAAAATAATAAAATTATAAAACAATAAAATTTTCACGACGTTTCGACTGCAACACAAGCAATCATCATCAGGTGTGAAAACCACACCTGATGATGATTGCTGTGGTTTTCACACCTCATGCTGATTGCTTGTGTTGCAGTCGAAACGTCGTGATAATTTTTTTGTTTTATATTTTTATTATTTTATTGTTTCCCTTCTACGTGACATTACCGAAAGAACCAAGAATATGAATCCCTGCAGTCACGAAAGCTTTAAATCAAAACTGTTCTCTAGTGGAGGCCTTTCCACCATGAGCGCGGTGGGAGAGTCACTGCAGGGCTGAACTTTTCCTTTCACGCAAACCGGCGCCGTGTATCATAGTCTCCAGCCGGCGCGTTCACGCGTTCGCCAGGTTGCAAACGGTCGACCTCCCCTCCGCCCTCCCTCCTCACCAGGAACCTCTCCTCATCCTTCATGCCCGGCGTGCGAACCAGGTGGATCTGCTCCGAGCGCCAGTCGCCGAACCGGCGGAAGAAGTAGCTGGAAAGGAAGCGGCTGATGGGGTCGCGGATGATGTTGATGTAAGCTGGCTGCTCCACGCCATACCTGCAGGGAAAGGAAAAACAAATTTAAACAAGAAAAATCCCGCTGACGTCACGTCCTTCCACTGCGCGCGAGAAAATAAAATAAATAGAAACAAACGCTGGGCGAGCGAAAGCGGCTCGAGGGGGAGGTCGCTAAATCCGCCGGAGGAAATACCACCTGGCAGAGGAAATGATTAAATATCGGCAGCTAACAGGATCGTGTCAACACCGCCGCTAATGTGCGCGCGTACGAGCGGGAGAGGGGATTTGGGATTTCTCTTTTGAGTTTCATTTCAAAAGGAAAACCCCGCTTCGGACTGACGAGAACTGTGTGTGACGCAGCGCCGATTCCGGGCGCTAGAAATCACAGTGGATTTACGGCGCAGCGCCCGCGTGAGGAAACCGCTGATTGTTTGAGCAAATTCAAGGATCGTTAAACACGGCTCGGTCAATTGAAACAAATGTCAGGAGGCGGCGCCCAAGTGATCGATGTGAATATCTTGCGCAGGATCACAACACCGCAGAGTGTGATCTGTGAAACTTTATTTACTACTTTTTTCCCCTTCCAATGGGCCCCCACGTTTTCACGAAAGGGGCCCTCGTTTTACGTACTCTCTACGTGAATTCATCCAAGGGGCTTTATCCACCTCTGATGCACGATGTCTTTTCTTTTGTTTTCGCGTTCGCCACACCGTGCCCCGATGAACGTCGCAGCAATTGAATTGAACTCGCTTTCATATGCAGCTCGTCGCCTGCCGTGCACGAAGGCGAGCGCATCGCGGATGATGCGCTCGCCTTGACGCACGCCGATCTTCTCCCTTTGTATGTCAGAGCAACATTTGTGTAACTGACATACAAAGAGACGGTGCCTGATAAAACAGTGTCTCGGATATTGATATTGACCCGAAATCCACACTTCTTCCCCAATCTGATAAGACTCCCCCGCCCCTCCCCATCGCCCATGCATTTGACGCGCTCAAAGGTACACAGGTAGCGCATTCTCGATTCTTGCATCTGCTGGCTGTGCTGTCCCAGTAAGCATTGGACAGCGGCACCGACGTTTGCACGTCCATTGGGATAACGCTTTGCGTGACTTACCTTGCGTTTTGTTTAACGTTGTAACTGAAACACCCCTCGACAAAAAATAATAAACAAAGGGCTTCTCGCGTGTGCTGTTGGAGGAGGGAGGGGGGGAAACGGTCGCTCAAAAACCGTCAAACAGCGGAGGTAAAAAAAAGCTCTAATAAACTTTGCGATGCCCATTTCGCAAACGTAATAAAAGTCACCCTTCAATTTGCATGTTTTCACTGTAACGTTATATTTCCAAGGCAGGTAAATCTCCACCACGAACTTTTAAAAAATCAGCGTGAAATTTATAAATGCGTACGCACACGGGCGGTGAATGGTGCAATTATTGTTTTCGTGGTCTATTAAGAAGTCTAAATATGGAACGCTTTCATCTCTCATTGCCAGCAGTTTTTGATGGCTGAAAGACTTTTTTTTAAGTGCACAAAAAAAACACACACACACCGCTCTTGATTAAAAGCCACCAAAATCAGCAGAGTGAAATATCTTCGCTTTAAGCGCAGGGAAAACGCAATGAAGAGTGAAGAGGAGGGGGGTGGGAGAAAACCCAACCCCATCAAATTGACCGGTGTGTTTTACGCAACTTCGTGAAGACTACAGTCGCTGAAATCGATACATTATTTTCCTGGGGATCTTTTCAGTCATTTGATCTTTCTTGCCTTTTGTGGTTGGAGTATGACCTGCCACAAGTCATTATGCAAACAGGAAGCAGCGTGGCTGTACAACACATGGCTTCGCTTGCCGTTTCCTCTCTCTCTCTTTCTCTCCATCCACTCCCTTTTCTCTACTCTGCTTCTCCTGTCTCTCTTATTTTTACGTTGTTCGTTCGTCATCTCAACGGAAATTTCCAAAGGGACCAATTTCTTTTTTTCTCTTCCGGTTTGCCGAATGATCGTCCACCGCGCTGTTGCACGACAAGCAAATTCCTCCTCCCGTGCTGTTCGTTTGCGTTCGTTTCACCATCCACTTTGTTTCTCCCATTTCATTTTACCCATAAGCTTTGCCCACAGCTGCAGCACTTGATTTATTACTTTCATCAACGAACCGTACGAAATTCTGCAGGATTCGTAAAACATACGCACACACACGCGCGCGCGCGCGCACACACACGCACGCACGCACAGCGCTTATTTGAGAAAATTGTGTAAAACAGCAAGAATACATTTTACATGAAACGTAAAAAGTCAATCCACTGCTGGATGAAGGCTTCCTCTACGCAGCGTGAGTCATGGTGGTTCACCATGCTGGTGAGTGCCGGTTGGCGAAGGGTGGCTTAGTGCCACGGTTCAGACATCGCTCACCACTCAGCTGGGAATCGAACCGAGGTAGCCGTTGTCCGCAGTGCAGTGCGCTCTAAGCAGTGCACCAACCAATTCTAGATTTGAAGCTTTCGTGACTGCAAGGATCCATACTCTTTGGTTCTAAACGGTAAAGTCACGTGACTTTTCTATTCAGTAAAGTCACGTGACTGTACCGAATAGAACCAAAGAGTATAGTGTACCAACCACTCCGCACTGAACGGTGATCAGCGAAACGGCCAGAGGCGTGCACATTTACACATTCGTAGATGCGCTGCCGATCTCCGCTGATCCTCTTTCTTTTAACTCTGCAGATTGCAGGTTTCAAGTTTTATTTTGCTGAACCGTGGTGAGAACTCAAACACGCCAGCATAGTCTCGTTGTAACGGTGACCCTGGGGGTCACCAAAACTGACAACAGTAACATAAAATAGAGTAGAGCTATAAGTAACGTAGAAATCAGAAGTAAATCTGAGATATTGAAAATACTGCTGACACAAATCAACGTTAAACTTTACATTCCCTGTGGCACGAGTCAGCTCGGGCAGATGATGTTTCGACCGATCATGGTATAATTACAGCTTAAGTTACAGAAACGTTCGACAGACGTAGGGTGACTATTGAACTAAAATGTAGCGCACACACGGATATGCAGGCGATTGAATGACGTGTGACAGAAGATATCGCTCCAATAGCCTACAGAGGGGTGTTAAGAGATGTAGTGTCCGTATCGAGATTCGTGGCGCCCCAGGATACGTGTAGCTTGTGGAGGCTTTCATAGAGAATGCCATTCTCAAACGTAATTTCTCCTCTCGCATTTTTGTGGAGTATCTATAAACGGATCACCCCGTTACATTAAATGGGGCCGATCCATTTACAGATGCCCATTTGCAACTCGCGCGGCACAATCGGGCACTAAATTCGCACACATTCATACCGAGTGGAGTGGGGGTGGGGGGCACTGTGAGGGCCGTCTGGCTGAGGACTGCGGAGGCAGCTGTCAGATCGCCAGCATTTCACAAGAACAAACATCTCCGGCGGCCGTACTCATCAGGAGATGGTCACCGGAACTTGGACACGAAGTGGAAGTGGTCGCACTGACGGTGCGGTCTGGCCGAGGGCACTCGGCGGGGGGTGGAAGCGGAGCCAAGGAGCCGTGCCCTGTGGCCTACGGTACCCCCCCCCCCCAGCCCTCGTCTCTACTAGCCAGGAGCACGGGGGCCACTGGGGCGACTCATGATCCAGCACTCACAGATTCACTCGCTCAGTCACTCGCTCGGGTCATTCGCTCGGTCACTCACAGATTCACTCGCTCGGTCACTCGCTCGGTCACTCACAGATTCACTCGCTCAGTCACTCGCTCGGTCACTCACAGATTCACTCACTCGCTCAGTCACTCGCTTAGTCACTCACAGATTCACTCGCTCAGTCACTCGCTCGTACACTCACAGATTCACTCACTCAGTCACACGCTCAGTCACTCACCGATTCACTCGCTCAGTCATTCGCTCGGTCACTCACAGATTCACTCACTCAGTCACACGCTCAGTCACTCACCGATTCACTCGCTCAGTCACTCACTCAGTCACTCGCTCGGTCACTCACAGATTCATTCACTCAGTCACACGCTCAGTCACTCACCGATTCACGCCAGTCACTCGCTCAGTCACTCACAGATTCACTCGCTCAGTCACTCACAGATTCACTCGCTCAGTCACTCACAGATTCACTCGCTCAGTCACTCGCTCAGTCACACGCTCAGTCACACGCTCAGTCACTCACAGATTCACTCGCTCAGTCACTCACGACTCACGCCAGTCACTTGCTCAGTCACACGCTCAGTCACTCACAGATTCACTCGCTCAGTCACTCAGATTCACTTGCTCAGTCACTCGCTCAGTCACACGCTCAGTCACACGCTCAGTCACTCACAGATTCACTTGCTCAGTCACTCACGACTCACGCCAGTCACTTGCTCAGTCACTTGCTCAGTCACTCACCGGCGGTCAGTCGCCTCGTCATTATTTTTTTCACCACTACCAGGGCAGAGCTGCCCGGAGCTGAGCTCCAGAATATAATTCCCCCACACCCATTCCCCTGAAATGCATATCAACATTTCCCGGCAGTGGAGACTGGGGTATTCCTGAGCTACAACCATGGTTAGTCTTTCCACGAAATTAACTCGGATTCCTCCACCCATGCTGGGGATTCGGTCTACCGAATCCTCACCGTGCACACGGTTCAACCACCACCAAATACTGCAGGTCACAACCACACGCGCACCCACCCACTCACCACACTGCAGGTCACAACAACACACTCACCCACTCACCACACTGCAGGTCACAACAACACACTCACCCACTCACCACACTGCAGGTCACAACAACACACTCACCCACTCACTACACTGCAGGTCACAACAACACACCCACCCACTCACTACACTGCAGGTCACAACCACACACCCACCCACTCACTACACTGCAGGTCACAACCACACACTCACCCACTCACCAAACTGCAGGTCACAACCACACACTCACCCACTCACCAAACTGCAGGTCACAACCACACGCTCACCCACCCACTCACCACACTGCAGGTCACAACTACACGCTCACCCACCCACTCACCAC